ACAGCTCGGGCGGAACGGGGCTGAAGCCTGTTCCAAAGTGCCGTCAGATCAGAGAGAGAAGCACAAGGCAACAGGTGTGGAAAGCAATAGCCGTGTTCAACCCCTCGCAGCATGAAGCCTCCGCAGACTCTCAGATGGCCTTGGCGCACCTCCGCGCACAACAATACGACACAGGAACGTCGCCGTCACAGGGCACTGCGGCGTCCTCCGATCACTCCCGGAGGTTTTTTGTTGTCGGTTCCGAAAAACGTCCTATTCGGAAAGGATGGCGCTGTCGGTTGTGAGGCAATGGTCAAACTGGAGAGGCAGGCCAGGGCAAGTTTGGGGCCACGAGGCGACTCCGTGCATACCTGCACATTCTTCTTCGCTGTACCTTCCATTCTTTGCCAGGCTTTGCCCCGCGACCGCCGATGCAGATGCATACGGTCAAATCGGCAATGGCCATAATTATATACATGCATGTATGTATGGGGTGGCACTCCACCAAACAGCTTTCAAACAAGCGGAGGACGCAGTTTGTCCGATCCCTCAGTTTATGGAGAGGAACCCGCCTTGTTGGGTCCTGATTGGTTTACCATCCCGTCCAGCCAGGCTACGTGCTCGTCCATTTCATAAGGACAAGGTGAACATGGGGGCTTCTGCTTGACTCCTTCCCCTTCTTCTCCCTTCGTCATGCTGGTGGTAGCCACCCAGTAACGAAATCTATTCCATCCGCAGCACGACGTAGATGTAGACGCCATGTCGACACCTTGCACTCCCGGCTCATTCTTCAGCCACACTCACTCAAGCGGCCTCGTCGCCGCCGGCTTCCACGTCTCTGCAGATCATCATCACCATCATTATCATCAGCACGAGCAGGAGCACGCCCATCAGCGGCAGGCCCATCTTCCAGCATGGCCCTCGGCGGCTTCGAAGGACGATTCGCACCACGGCGACAACGAGCAGCGGCGACGGACATTGCAAGAGGTAGGCGGGGCCTATTACTTCCCTTCTGTTCCCAGGGCTTGTCAATCACATCTCTCCAATGGTGTATTGCTTTCCCTTCCAGATCTACGCTCTCTCTCACGAGATCTGCGCTGTTGCTGCCGCTCACATGGCGCACGACAGCAAGCCTTGCACACTGCAGGTACATGACCTGCTAGACGGCTGTCTTCGAGGCTATGACCTGCTTCAGACCCTCATCTCGGAACCGGACAACCAGGCCTCCAAGGGCCCTTTCTCTTCCAACGCCATGACGTGTGAGTAACCCTGTCTAGCTTGTAATCAGCCCGGTGAGCTGACACCGTGATCACTTATGTTTTCCTCCTTTCATGTACGTGTGGTGTAACCTGATGTGTTCTGCAGCAGGCAACGGTCAAGACGTCGACAGCAGATTAAAAATGCACATCAAGCTGCCCCCCATCACGACCTTCTACCGCGCAGCTGCAGATGCCCAATTATCCTTACCGACACCATCGAAGAGTCCGATGGCGCATAATCTCACCGCTCTGTCACCCGCTGCGTCGTCTACATGCTTGCACGCATCGCCGCGCCTCTTCGTCGACCCTGACAGTAACGGTGGTAGCGATGGTGGCCGCCTCAGCTTGCCAGCAGCCGGGGCTTCCTCTGTTGCAGACTCGCGCTCGCTACGAGCTGCCATCGCCAATACGCCGGTGCTCGTGTCGCCGCTCACTGCGTCGGTACCATCGTCCGTCGCCTCTTGGGCCTCATACCAGTCTCAGCAGCACATCCAGCCTCATGCGGCTGCTGGCGTCAAGCGACGCGGTCGCCCGCGTGCGCGCTCTGCGGTCGAGTACCTCACCGCGAACGCCAACGGTAGGGTGAGGAGCACACAGGCATACTACTCTTCGAGCGTAAGCGGCAACAACAGCAGCAAAAGCACCACTACCAGCACCGGCAGCATCGGCTCAGCCGCTGCAGATACCAAGACCAACAGCGGCGGTAGCAGTAGCAAAAAGAGGGGTCCCCCTGTATACGCCAAGCGCTGTCGAAGACCGGCCGAGGTGTGCTGTGAGTGCTGCCGGGCTGACGACTCTCCCGAGTGGCGCAAGGGGCCTTCGGGCCCGCGCACGCTCTGCAACGCCTGCGGACTGCACTACTCCAAATTGATCAAGATCGATCGTGAGCGTCAGCAGCTGCCGATGAAGGGAGACGTGTGCAAACGAAAGGAGAAGATGGAGCAGGAAACAGAAGATGAAGGGATGCTTCGAAATGGCAGCGGAAGCAATTGCGGCAGTGAAAGTATTTGCAACGAAGGTGGCGCTCGACGCGAGCCTCGCGTCATCACGCTCGAAGAGCTAAGACATGCGGTTAGGGATATGGCACAGGCTGCTCACTCTCTGCTGTCGCCTCCATGAGACTTTTTCGTCGCATTCGCACGACCCCAATTTTTTTGTTATATCCCCTCGCAGCATTCACACTTATATATTCGCGCTTTCATTGTTGTATTCATTATCACCGGGCATCGATATACTTGGATCATCGGTGCTGCATTCACTACCCACTGCTTTGATTGCTTGCTTGAAGCGATCACTTCATGGGAATCCTCACCCTACATGCTTCGATTGTGGAACAGATTGCGGAACTCGTGCGCGTCTTCGTTTGCCCTAGAGAACGAAGTCGTCGAGGAGGAAATGAAGCCATCATGCCTCACGCCGCCGGTGTCAGATCCGTTGCGGTCACTTGCAAAACCGCCACTAGCGCCGTCCGTGCGCCGCTTTCGCCGCATGGTGATCAGCTGATGCGGAAGGCAAGGTGATCATGCGGGTCAGTTGAGCATACCAACGCGTACATACGCACATACACGGCATGGTGACTCACAATGCGGCCCCAGTATCCGAAATCCTGGTAATTCTTGGCGATCAGCACAAGATCTGGATGCTCGGGCACATGCGTCTTCTTGTCCTCCTCCTCGCTGATGGACGGCACAAAGAAAACCAGGCGGCCGTCATCTTTGAGCAGACGCGACGACTGCTTCATCAAGTCCGTCAGCAGATCTTGGAGGTGATAGGCGCGCATCGGAGGGTGGTAATCCATGGTCCTGCAGTATTGCGATGCAGACGGGAGCAGACTAGTCAGCAACGGACAGGGTCAATTTGACCTGGGAGTTGTTCAGCACTGACAGATGTGCAGGCGTTCCATCGGGCATGATGACCGGTCCGTCGTGATGCCGCCCATTTGCTCGGAGGCCAAGCTTCTTTGCACCGGCTCGAACACCATACGGTGGATCGGTGATGATGGCATCGAACAGTCCTTGATCGCGGTAAACCTCTTTGCGCCACGCAGGCTGCGTAAAGTCCATGTGCAGGCAATCGAGATATCGATGCGTGCAGCCGTACTGTTCGGCGACTTTCATGATACCAGTCTTACCTGGACCTGCTACTGTGTACGTCCAAGCGGCGCGGGAATCCGAGCAAGGTCAGTTGAGGAAGGCGCGAACTCCGTGATTGGAGTGAGTGACACTTACGCTCTTTCCCACGCAACGCCCGGACGTCTATCTCGGCACCGAGTACATAAGCATCGTATAGAGACGCTGCGTGCAGCATTGAACCCGTGCCGGTAAATGGATCGTAAATGATCTTCCCGGGGCCGGCCTAGATTGAATGTGTACGGTCAGTGACCTCTCACTATGCAAGGCTACAATTTGGCAAAGCGTCGCTCACCAAGCCCATCAGAGCCATTCGAAGACTCATTTCGCTCTCCATGGTCGTGTTTCCAATATATACCCTCTTCTTGACGTCAAAGACATCAACCTTGTCCCTGCCAAATTCGATCTGGAGCTTCCTCCCGACGAAGATATGTTGAGGTTTAGTGATGTGCCCAGTCTTCGCCTTCTCAGCTCGTCTGGCTTCTTTTGATGCCTCTGCTGCTAAGCCCTTCTCATGTAGCTGGACAACACCAACCAGCAGCTCTGCGCCTTTCATCTTGATATCGCCCGTAAGAGCGGCGGCCATGTAGGAAAAGCCTTGAAAGAGTGCTCGCTGTTCGTACTCTGAAATCCTGTATCCAAAGTTGAGCACATCGAACTTCCAAGAGGTCCTTTCATCGCAGTATTTCTGCCATTTCGCATTCCCTTGAGGTGATTGAAGCTTGGCGTGCAATTCTGCATGGTCAGCAGCCTCAGCCCAGAGCTCCCACGCGTCTTTGATGGCTACACTGCGCTTGCAGATGCGCTCGACGGCTTCGTTGCCAGCTGGAATGTGGAACAGAACGAATGGAGAATCCCATTCTGGCGTCTGCTCGTTGTGGATTCGTTTGTTGCTGCTGCCTTGTGAGTAGAGCTGCGCTGCTTCGCGAGACTGTGGTGCGACGCTAGCGAGATGCGACAAGGTGGAAGACCACGGTACGACTTCATACGCGACACCCAGATACTCGGTTACCGCGAGCCATTCGGACAGAGCGAAATTGAGGTTCGCATCCGAAAAAAAGATTGCATAGATATTCGACTGCATGCTGTCATCTTTGCATCGAGATGCATGGCCAGCGCTGATGCTAGCATTGGCGAGCGCATCGTTGATGCTGGCACTAGCTTCTTGGGTGGCCATTTGGACAACCCGAGCCAATCCAGACTGGCGTAGGTTCAAGTTGCGACACTACCAAGGAAGGCCCTAATGCTTTTGTCTTTGTAGTATGCAATTGGGATCAAGGGGGACCTTCCAGCAGCGATGTAAGCCCAAGATTGCAAAGACATGCTCGTCTGCTTGTGCAACCCTTGAACAATGGACTTGTGAGTGTCGTCTAGAGTTGCAGTGGAAACTGGGAAAAACGAGAGCATCTCCAGGGAGGCCGGAAGGAAACATGGAATTCGGAATTCGGAACCTACTACCTCCCCTGCGCACTCACGTACTTTCATTCTGACTCACGGGCTGACTCGCTTCGCTCTTTCCCGTTTCGCACTTTGTACGTTTCTCTCATCTGTCCAAGTTAAGCTAAGCGTATAGAGTGCATTTGGTCCCGTACGCATCGGACTCCTAGGGAGGTAGGCACCGTACACGATGGCAAAGGTCAAGGTAGGCGTATTGGGTGCCACTGGTGAGTCGATACCGAGTTGGCCTTAAAAGTATCTTCAGCTAACCCTTTCTCCGTCAGGCACCGTGGGCCAAAGGTTCATCCTCCAACTGGCGGACCATCCTCAGTTCGAGCTGGCTGCACTCGGGGCTTCATCATCTTCCACAGGGAAGTCATACAAAGATGCGGTGGCAGGGAGATGGAAGCAAGTCAAGCCCATTCCTGAGAATGTCAAGAACGTGACTCTGGTCGAATGCGAGCCGAAAGAGTTTGTTGACTGCGAAGTAGTCTTTAGCGGGCTCGACAGCGGGCCAGCTAGCACAATCGGTAAGCAGGCTGCCATTTCTTTTGCGATTTATTACAACTGAACCCAGGCCGTTCCATCAGAACCTGCATTCCGAGACGCCAACCTGCGCGTGTTTTCGAACGCACGCAACTACCGCATGGACCCCGTCTGTCCACTCGTCGTTCCACTTGTCAACCCCGATCACTTCAGCATCATTCCACATCAACGATCCACCTTGTCTCCGTCGCCATCCAAAGGATTCATCATCACAAACGCAAACTGCTCCACGACCGGAATCGTTGTGCCTTTGAAGGCTCTCCAGGACGCGTTTGGCCCACTCGACAAAATTATGGTTTCGACACTGCAGGCAGTTTCCGGCGCAGGCTACCCAGGCGTCAGCTCCTTTGATATTCACGACAACGTAGTGCCATACATCTCGGGTGAGGAGGAGAAGATCGAGAGCGAGACGCGCAAGATCCTTGGAGGTATCAATGCAAATTCGACGGCGTTTGAGCAGCTCGACGATCTCGCCATCTCCGCGCACTGCAACCGCGTGCCCGTATTGGACGGGCATACTGAGTGCGTCTCTGTCAGCTTCAAGAAACAGCCAGCACCGAGCGTGGAGGAGGTAAAGGAAGTTCTGAGGAAGTACACATGCGAAGCGCAGAAACTTGGCTGTCATTCCGCACCTAAACAGGTCATCACCGTGCACGACGAGCCGGATCGACCGCAGCCGCGGCTGGATAGAGACTGGCAGGACGGAGCCGGCGTGAATGTCGGGCGCGTGCGGAAGTGCCCAGTATTTGACATTAAGGTGCGCACTTCACAACCATTTGGCTGCTGTTGTCCGAACACTAACCAACGCTTATTGTCTTTAGTTTGTGGCGTTGTCCAACAATGTTATGATCGGCGCCGCTACGAGTTCGGTCATGAACGCAGAAATCGCTCTCGCGAAGGGGTATTTGGCTTGATGTAAACGAACGAAATAGAGGATACAAAATATGAAAAGGGCCAGGAGGCGCCTGTTGTCTTTTGTGGATGGCAATATGCATTACAGGCCGTCTATCGCGCGGTGGGCCTGAAGAGTATGTTAAGCAGAAGCGGGCAATGAAGTGATCAGCAGCTACTATCCAGGGCGATCAAAATAACAATTGGGCGCGAAAGTCGAAAGGGAGTTGAAAGAGCTTTAGCGCTAGGTCACCATGAAACTAGGCGATGGTGCCGTTAGTCACGGTCGGACCCGTGAGCGTGTAGTTGCCAAAGCAGGCGAAGTCGAAGTTAGCCGCCTTGTAAGCAGTTGCCTGCTGGAACTGGACGAACTCCGACAAAAGGCAGCTGCCATCGGAGCGGGGTGTGCAGCCTTGCGCCTCGTTCATCGGAATCAAGGCGTCGTTCAGGATGGTGCGAATAATCTGCGTGCTGTTGCCGCCCTCCGTTGAGCCGCACTCGGCGACCTCGAAAATGAGACGGGCGGCGAAGGGAGTGATGTGGGACAGGACAAAGGTCCTGTTGTCATCCATCGTGGTTGCGCTCAAGTATTCGCCGACCACATGGGTGTAGTTGAGCGCGACGAGGACGGAGAGGATGATGTCGTCGTGCGTAAAGTCGACATACATTGGCTGGTCGGTCGGGAAGTACTCCGGTGTGAGGAGAGTGCTGTTCTGCGTCGTGATCTGATCTGCGGGGATGGTACCGTTGGTCAGACGCGCGAGGAACTCCTGCACGTAGCCGATACCTTGCGCGCGGCCCGAGGGGCTCATGCTGCCGTAGTCTCCCTGGAACTGCAGATCGAGGAAGTACTCAAAGCCACGCCATTCGTCCTCGGTAAAGAGTTCGCAGAAGGGCGAGTAGCCTAGAGCATTCGTCTCGTATGCGCAGAGAGATTGCATTCCGTAGACCATTTCTGTCGTCAAGTTCAGGCTGGTGTACTGTTGCAGACGCTCAACCGTGCCTTTAAGGTAGGTGGCTTCCCACTGAGGCGTCAAATAGGTGTCACCAACGGCGAGTGCGCCTACGTTGCTGTTGTTGCAAGCTGCAAGGGAATAAGAAAGCGCAGCAGGAAATTTGTCAGTTGATCACTCTTCCTCTTCGAAATTAGTATACTGAAAAGCTCACTATCGTAGCTGGCAAGAGTGTTGTTGAAACCGTCACCTTCGAGAATGACGAGTAGATCGATCAGTGACGGCGCGTCAAGACCAAAGAAGCCAGCCGTCCAGTAGCGAGCCGAGTCAAGCATGCGCTCCTGGCTGGTGGTACGGATGACAGGTTTGCGAGGAGCTGTGCCATTACCGCCTGCGGTTGAATTGTACAAGGAGCCGTATGAATAGTACGCTTTGATACCGCTGTCGAATACTTGCTGAGCGCCGACGGGAGTGAGGATCTCAGCGCCCAGCTGGTACGTGTAGTTGGAAAGGAAAGCAAGAGGACCAGTGTTGGTGAATGCAGCACCGCCAGTGGCAGCGGCGGTGGAGGCGTTGGTGGCGAGGACGCCAAAGTACGGGGCGCCTTCGGTTGAGTAGCTCGTAGGGTAGCGTGCACCGTGACGGTGAAGAATATGCACGTTTGTGATCTTGCAAGTTGGGTCTAGCTGACGGTTCTTCTGAGCCTCGGAGAACAGGGGCGATGGGAACCAAGGAGACTTTGTATGGTCGAGAAGGAGGGGTCAATGTCATGTCAGGAGCTGATGCACGGCGCGTCTTTAATGATGAGCCAAGACAAACCGTATTTCCCCAGTACCTGGCCATGTTAAAGTCACTGCCCTTGGAGTTTGCTGGCGTGTACTCATCCGCTTTTGTCGCCGCCCCGAGGTTGGGCTTCGTCGAGTTCAAGCGGTTGTTCTGCGCGAGGAAGGGCGCGGCTCCATACTTGATGGTTCCAGAGTAACCGATATCCGTCGGGAACGCAGGACTGATGTCGATAGTTGCATTGGGACGGACAGCTCCGGCTTGACGTGAAAACAGGACGTGTGGGTCCTCCAGGTAAACATCTTCAGCAAAAGGAGTAGACGGCGTCGGCGTGGCGACGGCCAGGCTGGACGCTAACAGCAGGGCTGAAGAGAGCTTGAAGAGCATCTTGCGATGTGATGTTTGGACGGTGCCTCAGCACTGGTGTAGAGGTCACAGAACAGGGCCGCGGGGGTGCTTGCTGTGCGTCGAGAGGAAATGGTGGGCTTTGCACAGGAGTAGATTCATCGCCTTGCGCTGATATATGTGGAGAAGGAATAGCAAAATGAAAGGCGACGTGTCAAGTACGACACCTACGCCATTCCTTTTCGAACTGAGGTGAAGAACTCAAGGGATACGTAGCAATGCATTCACTCCTCCCGCGGCGTAACTCCCAACATCGGCACATCCGTCAGTGTCGTACTTAACCCTCGCATCACTCATGCTCGACTATGCTGTCTGCACGTGTATGCTCCTCAGACAGGTATGAATCTAGCCATTATCCCCGTTTTCGTACAGTGCCTCTGCACCTCTGCCCATTGGTCTACACTGAGCGCCGACGGTTGCAACAGAAGGTTTGAGCATAGTAAACCACATACAGTAGCTTGCAATTTTGCGGAAAGAACAGCTCGAAAAACTACCATGAAGTTGTAAAATTCCAGGCAACTACACCAAATTTCCGTCAGGTACGGATCACCGAGGATGAACATCACCTGAACCTGGATGATTGACAGCCGAGAGCGAGACAAAGCCGACTGTCGGCGCGGTTGCCCGGTCTTTGTTGCGGACTTGCCTTTGGCACTCTTCCAGAGCACCGTAGAGCAATCGGCAGAAGGCGCGAGATTATGTACCACAACGCCCTGAAAAAATACACAGGCCCCGCAGCGGTTTAACGCCGCAAGCTGACATTGCTTGCAGGTTGCGGCGCTCATGCACCTCTCCGAACAAAACTCCCATCCAGAACCATCCGCAGGCATCCCGCCCAACGCTTGTCTTCGTGTCTTGGCGCAATGTGCACTTCCAAGTTTTATCAGATCTCGTCAATGTGGAACGTGCCCAAGCCTCAAATGGCCAAACGTGCCAAAAGGCAACGGACAAATCATCCTCGCTACATCACCTCGGGGACTTTAGCCGTCGCTCATCGATGTGTCTAATTCCGGGCAACGCAGTCATGAAACTCCCTTCACCCAGAAAAACGAGGCCTGAATTGTAGCTCCTGTAAGCAAAGGGTTACGAAGTGCGAACCCTCGCATATGTACGTAGTTTTGCGACTTGCGACTTGCGAATTAAAATATTGCGAAGGCTGCGAGGCTCGGTCTTTTCGAGAATGTGGTCAGTGGTCGCAACATCCATATTGACTCACAGTGTACTAAAAGACTTGGCTCCTCAGACCAAGGAACGTGCACCGCATCCTCTCCGAAATGACCACCACGAAGTAAAGCATTGTTGCAAAGTTCATCCAAATCGATTGTTTCTTTCCGACAGGAGGGACAAGGTAGAGATACCCTGGCGAGCAGTTCCGATGGTCTTCGTCTTGGCAGCTCCCCACTTGAATGTGATTCAGAAGCTACCTCGCTCCTTGCCGTGCGGATAGACTTGTTTGCTATCCTTGACTAGTAATGGAAAGCAGCCTGCAACAATGCCCTGCTTGAAACGACCCTGTCTCCGCCTGACTCAAGCTCATTCACCGCTGACCAAGCTAGCAATTGTTGATGGGGCCGCACGCTACGCTCTGGTAAGTGCTTTGCAACCACCATTAAACATGCCAAGTAGCCTCCATTGTCAGCAATCTCATTCAATGCAAGGGTGACACATTGATGAAAGTGTTGCGCTTGTTACAGCCTTGAGCTTGCGAAGCGAAGCGCGGACAACTGTGAGTTGACTATGATCATGCGAACAGAGGGAGGTAGAGGCAAAGATTTTGCCTGACTTTGATGACCTAAGTGCTCGTCCGCAATAGCTGGCTGTGGGCGGGCCCCCGCACTTCTTTAGTTTTTCCACCTGATTCCCTCAGTCAAGCCAGAAAGAAAAAAGGGAACTAGTAAAACCTAGTGGAACACAGCACGAATGACCAGTGAGCGGAGTACAGAGCATTTGCACAGCACAGCCAATAGAGCGGACGAGGCATGTAAAAAGCTCTTCCTCCCTTACTATTGATGAACAGCAAGCGAGCTGTCGCCGGGGCCAGAGGGACCCTATGTTATTCAGCTGTTGGTCAAAGTGTCTGCATGCGAGGGGTGCGCGGTTGTGCTGCGCAGATGCTACGCGCAGTGCTCGAAGTGCCAAGAGTGCACGCCCAAGCGATGAAATCAGGCTGTAGTCGGGGTGTTGTAGCCAATGCACCGAACACCTCTAGCTCTTCGCAAAGGAGCATAGGGAAGAGCAGCAACCTTTGTTGGTTACTCACGCTCCAAGATTAATTATCACGACTATGCAATTGCAGCAAACGAATGAGCATATTTAACAAGAGGAGACGAGGCAGCAGGGTGGCAGCTGAAAGACGTGCGATTCGATGCAATCTGCGGCCGCCTTAATGGTGTGGATCCGGGAGTGACAGCCTGTCGTGGTATCAATTGGGGTTGCAGCAAAGGATGTGCTAGACCAGGTAGGATCAAAGGCGACATCTCCTTCGTAGAGTCGCGATGGGGAGCGTGCTGAGAAAGTCCAAGTCCACCTGATTGGTGCGAAGAGATGCGTGATGAATGTCGAAAAGTGTTGACGTTTTTTGTTGCGGTATCCGTGCCGTCTGTGCATACGGTAGAAGTACGAAGAGAGGAGAGCGAGCCAGGAGTAAGGCCTGCGCTCAGGCGATCTCATCCTTCATCGATCGGCCCCGTCGGAAAGCGCCAGCACCGATGAAGATGGTGACGCCGAGCATGATGGTGACCAGGATGAATGCGATCCAATCGAATGCCATGAGCGCCTCGAGCGAGTTGCAGTAGTAGAGCGGCTGCAATGCACGGCAAGCAAGCATGAGACCAGTCAGCGTGAGGGTATTGCCTTCTTCTCTGCAAGCTTTTACTCACCGATGTCCCACAGTTTTGCCCGCCGTTGAGCTGAGCAGTGATTGAACCGGCTGCAGCGACCCAGAAGATCCAATTAACGAAAAGGAAAATAAGGTGTGAAGCGATCGAGGTCAGGATTCCACCGACGCCGGCGAGGAAGCACCCGAGCTACGAGAGCGGAAAATGTTCGCAGGTGAATCAGCAAAATATAACCTTTCCGATAAAGTGTTGAGGTTCCATGGCAGTGCTGAAAGCAGCACTCACGTAAATCGAGCTGAAGAGGAAGGAGAACCATCCAATGAAGACATGGAACTGCGCGAGAAAAAGCAGTGTTCGGATATCAGCGGATGCGAGGTGACTCATGAGACAAGCACGCTGGTATGTATTACGTCACGTAATCGTCAATTCCATGGCCAACGCTGCATACTCACGTGAACCTTGTCCTTCAACCCTTGCGCCGTTTCGTTCGCAGCGCGGTTACCTTGGCGGTAGTCGTGCGTCAAGGCGGATGCGATGATAGCGACGATGAGCGAGACGAGAACGAGGACGCCGAAGCTGATCGGATGACCACGGCGAATATAGGTGCTAGCGTCGACCATCTTGTCAGCAGGGCTCTTGCGCTTTGCGCTTGCGTTTGGGGCTTGGGCAGGAGGCCTTGTGACAGAGGATAAGGATGCACTAGAGTCTTGTGATGAGCTGGCTACTTGTGTACGTGTGCGCGAACGCTGGTGCTTGTGGTAGCTGCTCCTACTAACAGTGCTTGAAGCTTGTAGGTGGAGTGTGAGATTTGCGGTCGGGGGAGTGTCCGGTCTATATAATCCACATTGAGTCGATAGGACAAATGGTGTGAGCGAAGCATAGCCCACTTTCTTCACCAATTCGCTCTTCACAGTCACAGTTGCAGTCGGCCCAGATCACAGCACAACAGCTGCGGGCTAAGGGGAAAAAAAAGATGACGATGTGCCAGGCGATGACGTTCACGGCTGGCACGCCGAAAGAGACGCAGTCCCTGTTATGCATCTTTGCACGAGACGTCTCTCTTTCTTTCTTTTTTGTCATCACCGTGCATTCGCGGAACACTGGACCCGAAGCGGTTCATATTCTTTCTTTTTTGACGGGTTAAAGGAGATATGTAGATTCAAGAAACAGCCAGCTTCTGCGTCTCCGTCTACAATCTACAAACCGGGCTGTACACCCCTCGCCCTTGTATCTCGTTTCCAACGGCTCTCTATGTATAGCACGCTGTCTCTTGGAGGGAGTGATCTCAGCATTTATAATCACTACATAGATCGAGCTGAGAGCATTTGTATAGGGTGATTGTTGCAAACTTTCTCTGCGCGCCACAATCGAGCCTTTGCCTGTAAGGATCCAGAGTGCTGTTCCAGGTTACTAGATGGGACAAAAGTCGCCTGACCCGTCCGCTTGTTTCCCAACAACGCCAAAGCTCCAAAAAGTGAAAGAAAAGAAAGAAATGCACGGCCACATCTGCTGGAGATGCCAACGCAAACCTGATCGTATCTTACCAAGTCAGAGTCTCTCTCTCGTTCGCCTCGGGTCCGGCCGGCAGATAGTGCACTTCATGGTCCGGCTGCCTGAGACCAGCTTCGTTTTTTTCGGCACTTATTTTGCTTCGGATCTTAGCGCCGGCTTCAATACTTCAGCGTTTGAAGCCTCTATTGACTAGCCGCCTTTGCGGCGTATCTCCGAGGGATCCATTATCTTTTAACCACTACTGATGCATCTATCATTTCGACAATATGGGCAGCCTATCTCGTGCGCCACGGCCGAGTTGTGCGTGTCAATGTAGCTTGGGATTTTAAGGACTCTCGACAAGCGCTGCGTAGGCCAACACACCCCCTCTTGTTACGGCAACAGCCAGAACGCAAAGGTTTGTAAGAATACGATGCGGATCTGGTAACAACTTTTTGGGCATATCGCTGCAGACATGGTGTTTTTGTTGCGAAGAAAAGTCTAGGCGAGTCGATTCGTAATTACGAGCTCCCTTTCAGCTCTGGCATTGCACCGCTTCGTTGCACTGGCTGATACAAGTTGAGCTCGTCGGCCTTATACCAGTCACACTTCCCACCAATCATAGGATTGACTTCCTCTAACCGCCTTCTAATGTCTCATTATCTCATTTAAGATATCTAGACTTATCCAAAAGTCATGCTCACTGGGCTCAACCCTCGAGTTCAAGACCGGACCAGGTGGAGGGAGGCAAGCAGTTCCAGTGTGGCAAGCGTCAAAACCAGGATCGATGGGCCTTTCGGGTCGTTGCGTAGGTCTGTTCTACGCGTAAGAGCATCTAAAAGTACGTTTTAGGTTGCAATCCCGGTCCTGAAAACAAGGTGGATTGTGCATGTGCCACAACGCACGCGTGCATTTACTGGTGAAAAGAATCGGGCGGAGGCATCAATGTTCTGTTGGCCCTGACAACCTGTCGGACCGGGGAAAAGAGTATACTCACCTCGTAGATCCAAGCGTCCTGAGCACGGGTGTACTGGATGGTAGCGTCCTGTGCACCGAACCAGAGAGCGATCTCCTTCTTGGCGTTCTCGACAGAGTCGGAGCCGTGGCTGACGGACAATCACGCAACATGCACAGAGAGTAGCAAAAAGGTATATGAGCTTCTCAGGTACGCCAGATCTCTGCAATCGGTGCGTAGGCGTCAATGATTTGACGTACCAGATGTTGCGGCCGACATCGATGGCAAAGTCACCACGGATGGTGCCGGGTGCGCTGGCGAGCGGGTTGGTGGCACCGAGGAGAACACGACCCTAAAATGAAAATGTATCAGTCTCCAAATTCGTTTATCGTGCATTGTCCTGGAGCCCACTCACTTGCTTGACGACGTCCTTGCCCTCCCAGACCATGGCAACGACAGGGCCAGAGGCCTGGCATTGGTGAGACAGAAGAGGTTAGTATTCCGCTTGAAATTAAAAGATGCGCCAATGCAAGTAGGCGCTCCAACGCACCATGTACCTGTTGCGAGAGAAGGCGGGCGTCAGCATTACTCTAGCTACTGCCTTCTGCAAGAGGTGCGGCATAGCTCACTTCACCAGACCAGGGAAGAAAGACTTGCCCTTGAGGTCACCGTAGTGCTGCTCGAGCAGGTCAGTGCCGGCGTGGACGAGCTTCATGGCGACAAGCTTGTAACCACGCTTCTCGAAGCGGCCAATAATCTCGCCGACGAGGGCGCGCTGGACGCCGTCCGGCTGTGGGAAAGAGGGTCAGCAGCCTGTGTTAGCGTCTTCAATTGGCATACAGTTAGCCTCGCTATCCAGTTGACTGCACACCTTGATCATGATGTAAGCTGCCCACGCCGAGAAAGGCGATCAAAAGAAATGGTAAGCAAAGGTAGGTTGACTGTCGCCTGCCGGCTGCGGGCAGCCTGCGCGCGCCACTCACTCTGCTCGGTAGCCATTTTGACAGATGCGATGACTTCGTTGGGTGGGACAGAGAGGGAAGGGCTATACTGCTGAAAGGAGTAAAATGCGAGGAAAAGAGTCGCAATGGCAAGTGCGGTGGTTAAGAAGAACCTCATCAATACGTGTTAACGTGTTGGTTGGTTTGAGAAGGAAAAAGGTCTTCAACAGCAACCGATTGTGTCTTAGAGGCGTCAGGCGCTTGCCGCGTGGCTTGGGACTCGCTCAGCGCGTGCCCTGGGTCCCTCACGTGGCTCGTACGGTGAGCCAGTGACCCAGGATACAGACTCATGGATTCCGGGGTCATATGATGAAATCTCCCGTGCTTTCGAGAGAAGGTCACCGGAACCTGAATTGGAACTTGCAGAAGCGCCAGGGTATGCAACAAAAATCGCATCTCTGCGAGATATAAAGACTGGCCATTGTGGACACTAACCGTGGTGATCGGTGAAGCTGTTTGGATGATTATAGAATCCAGTCATGCTTCAACACCTCGAGGACATCTCGGTCCTTGCTACGGTGGAAGGAAGATTTTATTCGACGCTGTGCGATTGCTGAGGACAAGGAAAGGAATGCGGTGCTGAGTGGTGTCTGTGCGCAGACTCCGGCCCGTCTAGAACACTGCGGCACGATGAGGTTGTGAGTACCGCAGGCGTCTCACTGCAAGTTTTGTTCGTGCACGAGTCGCTGATACGTCTTATCCTCGGCTGGTTCACGAACAGCGCACGCTATCTCGAAGAGAATGCCCAGCCAGAATGGTCGAGAGCTTATCTGCAGTACCGTTCCCTAAAAAAACTCATCAAACGAGTCGACGCTCGTCATAGAGCGCGGCTTGCTCGTTCTAACGCTTTGTCAAGGCAAAATAGCAACAACTCATCAATAGGCTTTGCGTCCGCGAGAAACGTCACAGAAGGTCTGCGAAGGAGGGTCCGGGGAGAAAGCTTCTCTTTCAAGCAGAGCGGGCGTGCCAACTCCGAAAATGGCAACACGCATAACCAGAAACACAGAGAAGCTTCGTCGGTAGAAGTTGACGGTGAGACTGGCGAGCCAGCACATCGCGATTTAGAAAGCGGTACGGACTGGCATGGTGACACTGGTGCCGAAGCCGGTCCGTCGCGGAACTTGAGTCCTCATGGTCACGGCGCAGGCGCTGAGGCCACAACAGGCCTCCAGCCGCATGATAAAGCATCCGGTATACGGTTCGCCTCGTTGCTGCAGCTCAGTCGGCAGGACGCAGAGGACGATGAGATGGACGCTGCAGCCGATGCCCTTCCACCGGTTAGCCTTGTGGGCACAGGACTGCACATCGACCCGGAAGCAACGGCAATACCTTTGCGACCGCGTCCATCTCGCGCATGTGATAGATCCTCCCCCTCTCAGGCGACACCTGCACCCTCAGGCGGGACTCGGCCTGAAGGCCATGGTAGCTCGCGCACGCCAAAGCACTCGCATTCGACAGGTGCAGACTCGGACGAAACAAGAATAGAAGAGATTGGGCGCAAGGTCACTGCTTTTGTCGAGGGCAATAGCAATGGCAAGAGCCGAAGAAATGGGGCCACGCATGCGGACGAGCCTACACGCGATGATGCTGTCCATCCGCCAACGACTAGAAACGGAATCCCGTCTGATGATCCTGCAATTGCCTCTGCGAGCGTCAAGGACCGCACTCCTAAACGCAAAGACAAATGGGATAAAGCAAAAAAGGGCCAGAAGAAAGCATCGGGGACGAATAAGACGTTCCTTTCAATAGTAGAGGACAACTTCGACTGGGAAGAACGCATTTTTTTTGCCGTGCTTGATACAGAGCTGACGAGAATCGTAAACTTCTACGAGGAGCGAGAATCCGAGTACGCTGCAAGATTCGAATTGATCGCCATGCAGCTGAGGGAGGTGAGATCGCTCATGTTTTGTTGTCTCGTTAGCCTCCTCCCTTGGCTGCTGACATTCGCTCATTTACCTTTGCAAGCTTTCGGACCACCGGAGGAACTTCAAAGCGCGAGAGGAGGAAGAGCGGTCACTCTTGAACGCGGTTGCAGATACGGCCATGAGCAAGCTGAACAATATCATAACTGTGGGTGGAGCTGCAGCCGCTGCTCACGGGCGAGCAAGTCAAGAAACAGGCGCCAAGCGACGCGCGACTGCGGGTGCCGCTGCTCCATCTTCGCCGGTACCTGCTCCTGCAGAGATTGATTCTGGAGCGCGTGACGAGGGCGATCGGCGTCGCGCTATCGCCCTGGCGAATATCCCACCCGATGTGGCGGCTCGCATCTTGGGCGATCATGAGGCTTCCCGGCGCGAGAATCGCGCTGCGGCTCTATCACAAGATCCGGAGCGCTACAAGTATGCGCGGAAGAAGCTCAAAACGGCCGTCCTGGAAATCTATCGAGGGCTAGAGATTTTGAAGAATTACGGAATGTGAGCTACCATGAATCGCATCATAGATTCCAGAATACTATGAGACTGATCTTCTGTGGGCTTGATGATCAAAGTCTCAACAGGACAGGCTTTGCCAAAATTCTGAAGAAGGCTGAGAAGACGTGGGGTGAGTGGTTCATGCTATTATATGGCTCCTGATCCCGCTGCTGACGGGGAAGTGCTTGGTATTTTAGAGGTCCCCGTCGCAGACGCCTACTTTCAAGCGCGTGTCGCGCCATCGATCCTTGTCACATCGCAGCGCGTTGAGATGCTTCTCAAGAGCACCGAAGGTGAGTTCTGTCGTACGTCACTGACGGCTTCTCCTCAATTCTGACGAAATAGCGACGCCGCAGAGATCTTCATCGCTTACTTTGAACATGGCGACCGCAAGAAAGCCTTGTCTCGCCTGCGCAGTAGCATCACCGGCTATGCGGCACAGCATCCTTCCCACCACCTCAGTGTCTTCAAGGCTGGCCTTTTTCTCGGTGTGGCAATCTGTGCCGGAGTGGCTGGTCTCGTCATTGCATTGCACCCAGATACGCCACATCGCATCCCGCAAGTTCAGTCGTTGCTTCGCGTCTATGCTGCGTTATTCATCCCGTCTGTCTTTGCCTTACTTTTTGGCATCAACCTTGCCTTCTGGCATCGTGCTCGCATCAACACCGTCTTCATTTTCGAGTGGGATGTCCGGCATGCAATGGACTACCATCAGTACTTTCAGATTCCAAGCCTCTTCCTCCTTCTACTCGGCATCTTCTTCTGGTTGACTTTCCTCAACCCATTCCCACAAAGCGCCGCGCCGACATCCTGGCCTTTGGTGAGTCGACAGCGGCCTAGATGTGATCATGGAGGCGCTTTTGACGACTATTTGACTGGCAGGTATACATGGTTATTGTGGTGGCATTCATGCTCAACCCGTTTCCAATCTTCCTTGCCGAATCGAGGAAATGGTTTGTCCGCAGCATCCTCAGAGTCTTTACTGCAGGTATGCTGCCGGGATCCAACTATTCTGTGCAATTCCGAGACTTCTTTGTGAGTGATCTGGTTGTAGCAGAGCAGTTCCAAACTGACGAAAGACATCTATTTCAACAGCTTGGCGATGAGCTCAACAGTTTAACGTTCCCTCTCTCCTCACTGTGGTTCATCGGCTGCGAATACCAGCACCATTGGTCCGTTCCCGACCAGTGCGATCCCAATGGTACTTACTGGACGGCTGTGCTAGTTGCTGTGCCCGCTCTGTTGCGTTTCCTGCAATGCTGGCGCCGTTGGTATGATAGCAAGTTTACGCAGCACATACACCTCATCAATGCTGGAAAGTACTCCACAAGCATCATCCAATACTTCTTATATATACGCTATCAGACCCATGGTGAGTCTCCCCCAACCCAACCAAGCGTTTGGGCGATTAGGCTGACAATGGCGTGTCCTTAAGGCTCTTCGAGGGCGCAAGATTTGGCTTTGTGGGCCACATTTGCGACGATTTACTCAATTTACACGAGTGCGTGGGACATTTTAATGGACTGGTCGCTTCTCCGGCTGCGTGCAAAGAAGCCACTCTTGCGCGATGAGCTGTGCTTTGAGGACTACTGGTTGTGGTATTACGTTGCGATGGTGAGTTGCCCCAACGAATGCGGTCTCGGTGAGACAGCTGAACCCGCTTTTCTCGAACGACAGGTTACCAACGTTTACATTCGATTCGGTTGGACGATCTATTTGTATCCCGGACCGGCGGCACCCCTTACGCGTGTCTTCATCTACGCGCTTCTCGAGATGCTCCGTCGCTTCCAATGGAACTTCTTCAGGGTGGAGAACGAACACTTGGTGCGTACACTGTTGCCTCATATGGTCACGTTCGTCTCGCTGACCTGTCTCGACCTGCGCAGGGCAATGCGGATACGTATCGCGTGGTTCGAGACGTCCCACTGCCTTACCGTATGGCGCGGCGACAGTCGGAAGAGGAGGAGGATCAGAATGGGATGCGCTCGCGCGCTTCGCTCCGGCTGGCTACTCTGCGCCGCCGATTTACCGACCCAAAGCAGCCCGGCAGCAGGCAGAGCAGCTCGAACGAGCCGCACACGGCCATGTCAAGGGCGAAGCAGATCGGCCACACGATCGCACGAAAGATCGAGCCAGCATTGGATGCGCATCGAAGCAACCTCTCGGCACGCGACTACGCTCCACGCCAGGCAGAGCTGGAGGAAGACCGCTGCTAGAAGTTAGAGACGTGGAATGTACGCTACATATTGATGAAGTACGCGGGATGATGCTTCAAGTGAGCTGCGCGACGAATTCGTCCGCCTGCTTGGGACCTACATCGGCCACCTCCTGGTTAATGTCCTCCTCCGTAGTGACGAGGCCCAGCCGGAGCTGGCCGGCGATGTGCTCATTCCAGAACTCTTTCTGCGGTGGCGCGCCGTCGTGCCCGGTGCGCAGCTCGTGCTTGAGCGCGCGGATGAAGAGGTTCCACCGCACGCTCTCGCCCTGCTCGATGGACTCGCGGCGCGCGGCCTCGATGCACTGCGCCACTTTTGCGTACTCACGGCTGGCGAGCGGCTGACGCAGCAGGTGCGTGATGGTGTGCTGCATGCGCAGGAGGAGGAGGCCAACGTCGCACACCGGCTCGGCTGCCAGCTTGTTTTGGAAGTCCGCAACGGGGTCGGCAAGATGAAACGGGCCGTGCTCTTCGAGGGTCGGGAGGGGTTTCACCGCGTCCTCCTCGAGGTCCGACGGCGTTGCTTCTCTTGCCCGCTTCGCCGCTGCTGCCTGCGCCCCTGGGTCATCGTTCTCGCGCGTCCTCGACGCCTTTTGGTGCCACGCTGTAAGGTGGAAGCAAAGAAGTAGTGCACATGTCATGAGAGGCAACGCCCAAATAACGGTACTCATGCGCTCTTGCTCACCTGGCCGGACGTCGAATGCGCCCTTCAAGTCGTCAAGGAGCGCGTCGCATCGCTCGCGGACAAAGTCTGGCGGATGCATGTAGCGTGTCAACGCAGGGTGCGGCGGCGGGGCAGGCCGATCCGGGAAGGTGGCCTTGTGCGCGAGGACCTCGTTGACGCGCTGGACGTTGAAGCTGAAGCTATCGTACGGATCGTACCATGCAATCGGCTCGCTTTCGGCGGCAAAATACACGTCATACGATCGTTAGTGGTCGCAGTCTCGTGGGGCAGAGCGGGCGCCAGAGGCTGCGAGGCGCCCCAGAATTCGGGGGTGCGAAACTCACCCATCCTCATCTTCCTGCATCAGATCGGTGGCGTCGGTGAATCGATCGAAGAGATGGAGCTGTTCTGCGTTCGGGATGCTCGGGTGATCGTGCACCCACTCCCCGTCCTCCGTCTTAGCGCGATCGAGCGGCGGGAAGGTGTACCTGCGAACGTCGTCATTGAAGCACGCCTGTCGGAGCACCCCACGCGAGCGGTCGTCAGCGGCGTCGACGGACCGCCGAGTCGCCGCCTGCGGGTGGATGGACTCACATTGACCATCAGGAGGCATTCCCACTCGGGCGTGCACTCGGGCCACAGGAAGACAAGCTGCCGCGGGCGGCGCGAAGAGCCAAATGCGGGCAACATCAGCACCTTGTTACGCTGCTCTCTGCGCCCTCGCAGTAGAACCGCACGCGGCTGCGAAGCGAGACTCACGCGTGGCGCCAGATCCTTGCGAGCGACATAGCGCGCGAGCGCGTATTGGTCGCGCTCGTAGAGGCCCTTGACGAGCGCGGACAGCTGCAGTTGCGGCTTGGGCCCCGCCTTTTGGTCCGCAAAGACGAACGAGACCTCGCCGACGGCGTACTGGCGCTCGAACTGCGCGATGCGTCGGGGAGCGGAGCCCGGCGGGCGATGCGCGGGCACGGTCAGTGGCAGCATATCCGTGAACAAGCCATGCTGGGAGGGGGTAACTCACGTCTTTCTGATGCAAAAAGCAGATGATCTCCAGCCCGGGGTTCGTCCGCGCGAGAGGCATCTGGTCTGCGGGCAGCGGGACAATGGAGCTGCCGAGCTTGTAGCCCCTGAATTTAGTCACGCTCTCCGGCAGCGGGTCCAGCTGGCCTTCGACTTTGTCCAAGCTGACCTCGACGGCGTCGCGGAAATCGTACATGACGGAGACACGCACGGCGGAGCTGTCGGGCTGCAGGCTCTTGCTCGTGCTCGTGCTTGCGCTTGTGGGGATGGCAGTGGCCGGGGGCTTGACGAGGCGCGCGAGCTCCTTGCGGGCCATGGGCCGCGCAAGGGCAGTGTACTTGTACACGCGGCACGCGAGCCAGAGGAGGTCCTGCGCAGGGCGCGCAAGCGTCGCAAGCTGCGGCGGGCCGACGGAGAGCGTCACGGCCGCGCCGACGGGCTGGACCGGGTGGATGGCGGGCGAGCGCGCCGAGAGGAGCGCATCACGTGCACTCGTCACGGCGCTGCCGGGCACGTCGGCGAGGAAGCTGTGCCAGAAGGCCTCGTTGCGCACCTGTGCTTCGCCAGCACAGTGGGTAGGACGGAGTGGATGGGGTCTGAGCGTTTTTTATTTGCTGTTGGCTTTTGGCATGCACGCGTGTCGCGGGCCGGTGCCACTCACCACTATTTCGGGCTTACCAGCGACCTTTTCGTCTGGCGTGTCAAAGTCGACGCCCCTGCAGCGAACCCCCCGGGGAGAGGGGGTGTCAGCAGCGAGCCATTTGCGAACGGGGGCACGACTCACATGACGCGCACAGCAATGGCCTCCTGGCGGAGCTTGTCCCTAATCTGATCGACGTCCTGGAGATGTAGGTGGGACCTGCCGTCGGTGATGAGGTAGATGAGCCTGCTCCAGGTGGTGCGCTGCTCGGAGCCGATGCCTGAATGCTGCTTGTCGAGGATGCTGGTGATGGCGACAACGAGTGCGTCTAGCGCATCGCCGGTGCCGTCGAGCGCTCTGTGCGGCTTGGTCGCCCTGAGCGCGAGCATCGTGTCGATCAGCTGCGCCGTCGCCGGCGCAGGGATCCACAGTTCGTTGATGCCTGCATAGTTGCCGGCGACGTTGTCGTCGACCAGCTTGTTGTTGCTGTCTGCACAAAGAGGAAGGTCAGCGAGCGTCTCCCGACCCCGCGCGGGCGTGTGTGCTCGAGGTGCAGCGACGTACTGCGGGAGTGGAAGAGTAGGATGCAGACCTTGTTTGTCTTTTTCCCAGACAGGATCTGCGCACAGAGAGAAACAGAGCGAGTCAGCCCCCCGATATTCATGCGCACGGCCTGGCTGGCTGGCGTGTGACGCACGCTTTGCTGTAGCTTGCGCACGACAAACTCGATGCACCACTGCAGTTTCGAGGTGCGTTTGCCGCCGCTGCTGCCGTCGCCGTCGCTGCTGCTGCGGGGGGGAGCATGTTGACCATCGAGGGATCGCTCGTCGGGGACAGTGATCTGCTCGCGCATCGACGGGCCGACATCGATGAGAAACGTGGTGATCTGTCGGGTCTGTGTGGGCAGGGGCAGCGTTGCGTTAGCCGGAGCACGCCACCGGGGAGAGGGGACAGACGCTGGGCTGTCCCCGCAGCTACTCACCGCCATCGTGCCCGCGCTGGCTGCATATGCACCCCCTGGACTCTCTTTTGCCTGTTGAACAGTGTCAGCAGCTAGTACTAGCTAGCGCTCAACGCTCGGCCGGCTCCTTGGCAGCATCCACAGCAACACTGGACGACGGCCAATGTACCGTGCACCATAGCAGATACGTATATCCCCTACATATACCGCGACGCGTCGTGACCACGGATATGCTTCGTTCTTTGCACTCGGGACGCGGGACAGAAGATGGGAATGGTGGGATCCGCGCGTGAATGGTCACTAGCGTGGCGAAGCCGTGCGGCCACCATACGGCCGGCTGTGTGGACTGCGCTCGCCGGCTGCTGCTCACGTGGGACCCACGCTGCTTAGCGCCGTTTTTGCCCCACGCGGACCGATATGCTGATAAATGCTAATTACAACCCTCTTTCCTTGTCAACGCTCTAATTAAAGGCCTGACTTATTCCACCACCAAAGTCACTCTTTCTCTCTCTCTCTGTGCGAGGCAGGACGAGACGAGACTCTGATGGGCAGCAGTAGGAAGCGTGTATGTGTGTCATGCTCGCACCACGGTCCATTCCATCGTATCGCGGGGTCGCGTTGACATGTTGTACTGTTAGCTGATGATTGATAGATAATTCCGGCTAGACGGCCCCCCCTTTTCCCTTCCGGCTTGACCCCCACAGCCACTTCTTTTCCCCCTACCTTGCCTAGCCTCGCATCGTCTGCCCTTCCCCCCTTTTTTAACCACCCACCATGCAGTTCGCCACCCTCGCCGCGCTCTCCATCTCACCCGCCATCTCCGCGCTCGCGCTCTCGGCGCACGCCAGCCCGATCTCGCAGCTGCAGCCCCGCGCTCCGTCGGTTAGCTGCGGCGGAGCGCAGTACAGCAGCAGCCAGGCGCAGCACTGTGTCGTCCTCGCCAACTCGGATGGTGCACCAGTACAACGACTACGAGGGCTTCAACTTTAGCGGCACCTGCGGGGACAGCACGTACGAAGAGTACCCGCTCACCAGCAGCGGATACACCGGTGCGTCTTGCCAGCCAGGCCGAGCGCGCCATCTCCTTTTGTTGACACCCTCACCAACTTTCTGCCTGCTCGACAGGCGGCTCCCCCGGCCCGGACCGCTGCGTCGTCGGCGCCAGCTGGGGCGACTTTTGCGGTGCCATCACCCACGTGAGTGCCATCCCCTTCAGAGACCCCCGTATCATTTCGCGGCAAGGAAGGCTCACTCACATCCCACCGTGCTCATCTCGATCTTCCTGCACGCCCCGCAGACCGGCGCTTCGGGCGTGAGGATCAGGAGGATCTGCGCGCACACGAACCGCACACTGATGATGGATCGACGACCGCTCTCCCCGTCCAGAACAACTTTGTCCAATACGACTACTGAGCGCCTCCCCGATGAGGGGTATGTTGCATGAGCCGGGCGGGCCATGCGTTTTCCATGGCACCCCCAAAACTGCTTTCCTCGTATCCATCCACATTCATCCATCGCATCATGTCATCTACATATCTAATGGCCATTTGAGCCTGCCAATCAATCCCTCTGTATAGCATAGCGAATCGCCTCCCTCTATTGTCCATTCCATGCTCCACGCGCGCGCGCGCACGTGTACACCAGGCCCCCGAGCCGGAGCAGGGCTCATCTCGTCCACACAGTACAGCAGCTAGCCCGGCCGGATCGCGCCGCAGCCACGGCACATCCAGAAGCCGCCCAGGTCGCCGGTCATCGGGAAGTCGCACGCCGCACACTGCCATCCATCCGGCGTCGCAGCCGCTGCCTTCCATCCCGGTGACGCTGCCGGGTCCTGCGTGGGCGCAGAGAGCGCCCGCCGCGCCGCGTCGCACGTCGTGCACCGCAGCGCCTTGGCCGCGTTGCGCAGCGCGCACGCCGAGCAGAGCCATGTCGTTGTGCCGCTGCTGCTGCGCTTGCCATCGACGCGCATCTTGTTTTGCGACGGCACGCCGCGCGTGCCAATTATGACGACCGAGTCGTCATCGTCGCCATCCTCAGAAGACGAACAAGAATCGTCGAGGAAGATGACTTCATGCTCATCTTGCGCTCTAGCTCCTTCGCTGGCCTCCTTGTTAGCCCGCGATCTTGCATGAGGCGGGGACGGCGCGGCAAAGCGCGGCGGCAGCTCGTTATCATTGAGGATCCACACGTCCGGCTCCTCCTCGTCATCCTCGATCCGGATGACTCGAATGCCTTGGATGGCCTCCTCGTCTTCTGCCTCCTGCACCGCGCGCGCGTTGTCTGCCGCGCTCTCCGGACATGCGGCCGGGATGTGCCTACTGCGCCGCTCAGCGGCCTCTGCTGCGAGCTGCGCCGGTGTCTTGCACGCCGAGCCGGACGAAGCCCCACCGCCGCCGCGCTCGTGCTCGGCAATCCTGCGTCTCTGCTCGGCCTGTTCGGCCGCACGTCTGCGCGCAAGCGCCATCGCCGGCTCGCGGCTGGGGATCGACCCGCCGAGCCGGAATGCCTGCCCGGTGAACGCCTCGAAGCTGACGAAGCCCTTACGCTTCAGATCCCAGTACTCTTCCGTGAGGTTGCCGAGAAGCTTGAAGAACATCGCGTCGTGGGGCCCTCGGGCAGTGTGCGTCAGCTCGTGGAGCATGGTGTGTATGACGTCCTCCTCGTCGAGAAAGGCGTCCGGGCTGTGGTTCCAGCGCAGGCGCAGGCAGATCTTCTGGCCACGGTTGACGTTGATGCCGAGCAGGTTATCTTGCTTGGGCGAAAACTCCGCCAGCAAGGGCAATACCCAGCCGTGACTGGCCATCAGCGGCTTGACGACTGCACCGATCCGTCGCAGAATCTGCAACGCCTCCTCGGCCCTAGGCATCTTCTTGAGCGCGCGGTACTCGCGGATGCGAGGCGCCGACGCGGCCGTGCCGCTGCCACTCGCATGGGCAGACTCATAGTGGCTCGTCACGAGCGGTTGGATGCCTTTGAACTTTCCCTTGCCATCGACCACCATGTTGGGCCATGTGGCAAGCAGGAGGCGAAGCGTGCATGACAGCGCTGCACCGCCATCGGCTGATCGAGCGAGCAGTGTGTTTCTGGCACTCGCTCACGTCCACATTGCGCGGCGACTCGCAACGACAGCGAAATCAGGCAATCTATCCAAGCTCAACTGCGCTGCAGGGAGAGTGAGGTGTGGCTGGCGCACTCGTCGCGTTTAAAGGAATGTGAAATCCAAACTTCTTGATGGCACACGCTGTGGGCAAGGAAAATATCGGGAAAGAGAGAGGTTGGTCTTGGATCTGTTTAAGGATGCTAGAGTCAATGATGGACCCGAGAGAGTCATGCAGTGCCGCCGCAACACTTCTGGCGTCATTCAACTCGGCTCACGTCGACGCCGTACAAAGCAATACTGCAGATGTATGCTATGCCCTCATCCACATCGACGATGAACACCCAGCCACGCTGAGCGTACATAGCAGCTCGTCCACATCCACGAGCTATCTCAAGTCGAGGGGTGGAGGACAGGAGAGCCGGCCAAGATGTCGTTCGTCGCCGTCTGCCCGTAGCGCAGCAGCCCGCAGTCATGTCCAACTCCAGCTGCATGGCCGTCCCTTTCTCTCCGCAGTCACCCCCAGTACGACCGCCCTGTTCGCCGTGCAGGAATCCGCGGCCATGCCTCGAGAAGAGTCAGATGCCGAAAGGGTGAGCATGCTCCTGTCTGACCATCTTGAAAATCGCCCCCTGACACGATGTGCGCGCCCCCGCAGGCCGAGCGGCAGGCTCGGCTATCGCATGCGATGGGTAAGCTCTTTCTCTCCGACCGTATAGCCAAGATGGAAGACGAAGCAACCACGCTCGAACTCCGTCGCAAGCCCGCTGCTTCCTCACAAAAGGGTCCGTCACCGTCTCATGGCGCAAACAACTCGACCAAGTCTCGGGGCACAGGTAACAGCGAGGGGATGGCCCACGGTGACAGCAGCAAGAGGGGCCCGGGTCGGGGCCTACGCCAGCAGCAGCCGCAAGGCCCTATCGCAGTGCGCATCATCGATGTCAGCTTGTTGATTTATTCTCTGCGCACGTTGCATGATTGGATCAAAGAGAGACGGTATCGGCTTGTCGTGCCACTCGAAGGTGAGGAGGCATCTCCTGCTGCGCAGTCATGATCACTGCCCATGCAACCCCATGATCTGAGTCAAGACCTTGTGCCATCTCTACAGCGCTGAATGTATTGGACGTGCTAAAGAAAGGAGACATGGCGATCAACATTGCAGCTCGTAAAGCTATGCGCTTCCTTGACGAGCGGATCATCTCCCTACCGAACACGGCGTCATCATCGGACACTTTCCGACCCCAAGGTCAGCAACCGCAGTTCGTCGTGCAGAACGACACGGAGCGCATTAATTGGAGCGATATTGTGGCTCACGTCAACGCCGGACATATTCCTGCTGTCGACTCGCGTGTTCAATTACACGTCGACCCGTCCACAAACGAAGCAGCCAAAGCGCAAAGCATACAGGCTGCAAATGACTTGCTGGTCGAGCTGATCTGGGATGAGACCGAGGAATCAGGACGGTCTGTTGGAGCGCCAAGACATCAGAATAAAGAATTGTTGCAGACGAGCAATGCAGCTGCACAGAGTAGCTCGGAAAGCAAGCCGAGCAATGACGGCACCGCGTTTTCCTCTGGCGGCGGCATCGACACAGATGCACCTTTGCATGTGCGCGAAACACTCTCCTGCTTTGCATGGTGGGAGTGTAAGCTACGCTACAAGATGTACGGTTCCAGCTCGGCAGCGCAGCAAGCGTGCGCAGCGAACGATGACAAGGATACCCTGGCGCTGGCCATTGCTCTCCCTCCGCCAGACTCTGATGATCTCATTACGCCAAGGCCAGCAGCAGAGACAAGGGACGTTGCGGTTTCTCGCTTCCACATTCGCGCTGATGGAAGGCTCATGAAGCGTTACGCCGAAGAAGCGGGCATGAACGTCATCGTGGCGCCCACCGCGGCCAGCTGGCTGCAGATCGCACATGCCGGCTCCGAGGTCAGCGCACACAGCAGCGACGAGCAGCCCAGACCGGCGAAGGGGAGACCGGCCGAGCGGAAGCTGCGCAAGTCGGCCGCTGCTGTTGCCAGCCTTGCAAAGGAGGACCGCGCTTATGATCGCGGTAGCACGCCGCAAATCATCTTTTCGAAGTGAATGAACCAGCGCCCGAGTCGATGTAGCTTATCATGTGTGCTCATATCATTTGCATCGTCCGTCTGGGCGCCAGGTGGGAATCTCACATACAAAGGGAACTTGTGAGGAGAAATGAGATGACAAATCGGCATGTATGAAAACTTTAAAGCTGGATTGCGATGATCGAAAGGATGGCAATCAAGCATGCTACAGCAATCGGGCTGCTTGCAGTTGGCGGTGCAGCATTAACGATCTCACCGATGGTAAGGCGGCCGTTCTGGAGTGTCGGACGCAGACGGTTGTTGCTGCCCGGACCGTAGATACCCGTCTAACAGGAACAACGACAACGAAAGGCGTGACGGCCAGTTAGCACAAGCACTCGCTGTGAGGAGTCATCGCTGTTGAGACTCACAACATTCTTCTTGTGGTAGTCTCGGCGTGCGGCGCCAAGCATCAGTGCAAAGCTGAGTGCCTCTGGGCTCGTTGGTCCTGGTACGTTGAATGCGCTGAGAATTCTAGCTATCAGTCGCGCTGAATGCAGAAATTCTTTCAGGGCGCGACTTACAGAGCATCTACGGTCTGCACAGAGGGGGCAAAGTGCCCAAACTCGTCTAATTGATTAGACGTGGCCTGGTATACCTGCTCAGCAGCGTCGATGTATGTCGCCGAGTCCGCTGCCATGCTCGCAAAGCGGAAGGTCGAATCTGCATCGCACATAATAAGGACGAACTCATCACGCGTCAGCGATGGCTCCGCGCAGTACAAACACTCCCAGTGACGAAACCCACAAGCCAGAAGCATCGAGCCAGCCGCGTCTCTGAACGTGCGTGTGTCGTTCATCGAATTATGGAAGAGCCCTGTGCTGTGGTCCTGCAGCGGATACGCAGCATCCAGCAGCTGCGAGGTCCAGTTGAACAGATCCGCTTTCTGCTGCAGCATGGCACTCGAATGCGAGCTCTGAGCGATGCAGGCCAGCGTCCGCAGGAAACCAGCTGCAGCCCAGCCATTGCCCGTAGCCCAGAGGCTGCTGTCGAGCCAGGTGCTGTTCGAGGCGTCCCAGATGTGTGAAAGTAGGCCGGAGGGCTGAAGCAGCGCTTGTCGGTAGAGCCGCAACTGATCGTAGGCTGTTTGCAGCAGCGTCTGGTTGTCGTACACCAGACCATACACTGCGAGCGAGGAGACCATGTACAGCGAGTCGGACCAGATCTGTATATCACTGTTGCGTTGACTGATGGCACCGTCAACGGTGCGGTTGGTGCCGGTCAGGATAAAGTCGAGCTGCTTGGTCGCTCCTTCGACATAGTAGCCTTTTCCCGGAGTGTGATCGACGATCTGGCCATTCTTGACGGCCGCGAGCAGCACCGGAACAGCGCAGATGGACGAATCGAGCGAGGATCCAGCCTCAAAGTCCTCCTCTCCCGTTACGCGGCTGCAGAGCCTGCCCCGCGAATCTTGCGCGGCGATGGCATGGTAGGCTATGTTTGCAACGTCGCGTGGCAAGCCGCTGGCAGACGGATCCAAGTTGCCGGCGCGATAGACCGGCCCATTGCCTTCGCCTGCAAAGTAGTTCCAGTTCGAGCTGTCGAGCTCGAGCAGCGCGGCGGCAGCAGTGCCTTGTACCCAGCTTGGCCTTTGAGCCGAGAGCAGTCCTCCCCGAGCTACAGAGATCATAGTGACATTCGGCTCACCACTGTTGCTGGCGCGGGGATATAGCTGGTGGTATGTGGCGTCCGAACTGGCTGCCTGAGTCGTCCCGGCCGTTGCCAAACCAAGCACGCCGAGCATTATCACGCTCAGCGCCGTAGCTCTCCCCACAGCACTGTGACGTGGGTGCTTGCGCGACGAAGGCGATGACACTGCACTGCCCAAAGGCTCGACATCGATGACATCTGCCCCGGTTTTGCTCTCAACAATCACCAGTGTGCCATTCGTCCTGAACGAACCAATATCTCCGGTCGACACCCACAGGTCATCGCCTGCCTGGACACCAGTCTGCTCTGGCGACTGCGGCGCGACGGCGACCGTTTTTCCCCTCAAGCGCACTTCGCCAGCAGGGTCGACCGGCCAGCGAGTTTTGATGAATGCAACGTCGCGGCCCTTGACAGCCTCGATCGTGTACCTCTTTTCGCCTCTGGAGGTAGGTGTTTCGACGAGCTTAATCTCGACAGAGACGCTCGGCGGACCAACGTGATACGGCATGTTGATTCCGACATCGAACGCCTGCAGGTCAGCGGCGTGCGAGGTGGCGATAGGTGCGGTAATGTAGGCCGGCGCCTTCTCAGCTTGATCGGCTACGTATGCGTCCGAAGGCAGGTAGGCATGGATGATCGCACCACCGGTGAAAGCTCGCAGTATATCGACAGTATTCTGACTGAGCTGTTTGCCAACTTCATCAACGACGGTGATGCTGCGCAGCTTGTCAATATGCGATGAGCGACGCAACGAGTTGAAGTGGAAGCGATCCCACATAGTGTCTGTGCCGTTGACGCCATGTCGGAGCGCATACAATTTACTCCTGCTCGCGTACAGGCCAACACCTAGCGGTGACTTGGCCGACAAAGCCGTCAATGAGGTTGCGAGGCTGGCAGCGGCGAGCGGCGCCGTGTACAGCATGGATGTCTCGGGCGCAGCAGCCAATGCCTTCGCCCAATCACCTTCGCGAACATTCTGCACATTTGCACCGGTGTACAATGCTAGTAGGAGTATCACCAGACCTGCAGGTGTATGCGCCGGCGAGAGCAGCTCTCCTCCCTGGTCAACGATTGAAGGACAATTCACGAGGATGCTGTCGGCCCGCGTCGGGATCTTGTCTGCAGAGAATGCTCCAAGGTGCGCCGTCACGCCGGCCGTGAGCGCGCCGTTTGCGATCGGGACCCAGCCCGATTGCATGCCACGCGAGCTCCACCAGTGCGCATAGACGCTGTGGAGGTCTGGTGCAGCTTCTTTTGCGGTAGTACTGCCAGTTTCTCCGACAGGGGCAGAGTCGCAGACCTGCTGCAGCGTCATCAGACGGTGGCATGTGCCGGCTGCAAGGTGCTGGGCTTGTTTGAGCTGCGATTCGTCAGGGAGGACGATGATGGCGGATGCGTCCAGGAGGCTCCAGTGCAGGAGCCTCTCTATTGAGGATGCTGTGGCGAACGCAGCTGGGAGGGTGCGTGTACGCGAGCTAATGCTGGCCGGAAGTATGACCGGAGCCTGGCTAACAGGGGCAACCGGAATGACGAGCAGCGAGAACGCCGCGTTCTCCGCTGGCGTGAGAAGAGCAATACAGGACGACAAGCTGTCTTCATCCGCACATACGGCGCATGCCAGAGCGGGTGCGTTGCACAGCTTCTCGAGACCCTTTCCGAAGCGCTGAGCAGTGGCCAATATGTCATCTGTTGACGTCTGTGATCCGTAGATACGCATCCTGACACTCTGTGCACCGGCTGACTGCGCCTGGGCGCCGCTGCCTGGTCCAAAGGTGCCCGTCACAGCGCTTGTCGCGCCACCAAGCTTGAGCATTTTGCCGACGTTATCAGCGCCTCTGCGTGGTCGACCAGCCAGGTCAAATCCTGGCGGAGAGTTCGCGTTCCGGAAGATGGCGGATTCGCCATTGTGCCGGACACGCGAAACGTCCGCTTGCCGTGTGAGAATGAGCGGGTGCAGTAAAGGCTGAAAAGACTGCGAGGTGTAGATGGATAGCAAGAGTGTAAGGATGATGCAGAGCAGTAGCACGAGCGTCGTGTTGTCGATGATCAGCGAGAAGCCCATCTTGAAAGCACCTCTGGCAATCTTCTTAAACGGCCTCTTTGGGACTCGAACGAGCGCTGGCCGATGGTGGCAGCTAGTATATGAAGGTCAAAAATAGTCTAAGGACGTGCAATGAAACCGCTCTACGGAAAACACTTTGACTTACAAATCACCTCTCTTCGAACTGGGTCAGGCTCGGGGACAAACGAATAGACCAAAACTCCTCTCACGCTTCGCGCCTTGCTCTTGTCGACTTGGTTTGCGCCAACCGCCAGCTTCTAGAACACCACTCTCTCGCGTGTCTATACGCTGACGTGCCGCTGCGGGGCAATGCATAAAACTTCTCGTCAAGTTGCCGGGTGCCACAGAATGCCACAGAAACGCCAAGGTTTCGGACTGCGGCTCAGCGACGTTTGTCACGCTCACTCCTGATCACGAACCTTCTCCGGTGAGCGGTCTGCGTCGGGCTTCTCGCACTGCGACAAAGGTCGTCCACAACTTCTCCGGCTTCGACTATTCAAAGGACGTACTCGGTCGGCTACTGTGGCCAGTTGAAAGGTCGCCGTCTCCTGCAGAATTGCAGAACACTTCTACCTACCTGTCACTTGTTTCTTTGGCGTACCTTCGCATCGATCGCCTCTCGAAATGGCTCTTCGCAGGCGGGCACATGGAACCCAAATGACGTCGGCTCCAGCGGCACCGCTGCGGCAGCCGGCAGCGGACTTGGTCCAACAAATGTTAGACCAAGGCACTGGGACTATATGAGACAGGATCGCTGACAGCCAAGCACGGCCCAAGCCTCTTGACAGCTCAGCGGATATTTAACAACCCTACATTCACGAATGTGAAGTGGGTACTGTGAGATATGTGCCTATGCCCGATTGCCGCTTCTCCGCTGACTGCTCGCAGCGAATTGAGGCCCTGCCGACTTGCGAGACCTCGCCGCCGAATGAATAGTGCACCGGAAGTGCCAGGTGCGTGGGCCGGAGAGCGTAAGTAATAGGTGATGGGGTCTCTGCTCCCGGGCCTTGCACGTCACAGCCCGTGCCTGTTGTGCGGCGGACAAAAATAGTCAGCATGTTGGCATTATCAGCACCTGAATCAAGCCAGACGCCAAAAAATCCGAGCCTCTCCTTGAGCCCAGCTTCTATTGTCAGTTAGATGTTCTGACGGCGAAGTGTCGACCGCTGCATTGCAGTCTGCTAGCTCAGCTTGGGAAGATTGCGATGCTGACGGTTCTGGCGCTGACTAACAGTTAGTTGACGTCGCATAAAAACTGAATTTTGCCGTGCAGGCCAAAAGTAAGCGGATAAGCTGTCAGCGAGGGTTCCAGATGTGGCATGTGAATACAACAGGATATCGTACATGTACGTGTGTGATTGATACACGGGTCTCAACATGAAAGAACGCAGCAACACTTCAGCCATGTACCTCGATGCCTCCTTGCGGTGCCTGCTGTTGCTGCGGATGTTCTCCCTCCTCGTGGCCTCCCCAGTCAACAACGTAATCCTCCGCACGCGCGAGCACACGCCTTGCGAGCGCATTGACCAGCTTGTAAACGATCAGCAATGCCCTAGCGATGCCAATGACGACAAGCGCAAACAGGATGATCGACGTGATCGCCGCTGCATCTCCACGTCCACCGCCGCCGTTACGCCGAGGGGAGCGCGTCATGCGTGCAAGACCGCGACCCATGCCGAGGTTCAGATGGAAAGGGCCAAAAATGGATAGGCCAAAAGTCAGGTTGATGAAAGAGACCATACCGATTAGAGAGAAACCGAGAGAGACTGTGATGTAGCGGGAAGAACGGCCGTGAGAGCTGGAGCCTTGCCATTTTGAAGCAGAAACAAACGTGGCCACTCACATCGCAACAATAACTTGTCGACCCAAGCAGGCCTTCCAGTTGCTGAGCGCTTCTCTGCCTTCTTTTTCAGGGCCTCACCCTTTTGTTGCTTGCGTTTTCTCGCGGCGCGCTCCTTTGCTGACTCCGCTTCTCGTGTTGGACGTACCGCGCGCACAGCAGGGTCATATTGCGCAGCGGTACGCACATCGTAGCGTTCATTTTCTTTTGATTCGACCCTTGTGCTTGCGCCTTCAAAAGCTGGCTGGGGGTCGGAATTCACCCCTGCTGCCGGCGCTGCTGCTCGGTCCTCCGCAGGCGCCTGACCGGGCCAAAAGCCGTCCGGACCATACTTCCAGTCGTGAACGAGCGCTTTCCACCAACCGCGTTGCTGCCCCGAATCCTGAGCCACAACAGCGTGCTCTCTCTGCTCTTTACCACCAAGGACGACTTGCCTGATGGCCTGCGTGCTTTCGCCGCTCACGACGCTCCGCACAGCAGACTTCATGAGATCATACCAGCCAGCAGCGTCTGAATAACCGCCGTAGCCGAATGGCCCTGCGCCAGCGATGACCCAGCCTCCACCTGACCAAGAGTAGTGCGGATTGTACTGGTCAGCGTAGCCGTGTCCATCATCATCCTCAGTACCAAGCAGCCATTCGCCCCAGGTCTGCTCTTTTCTCTTGCCTGTAGCTTCACCAGCGCCAAGTACAGCGTTGCGGACGTCGTCATCGAACACTCCCCACCGTTCGATAGCTGTTCCTGCCGCCCAACCGACGCTCCAGATAAGGCTCAAGAACAGGCTGATGCTCAGTAAGAAGAGCAGAGGGCGCGAGTTGGCCATGCCAACAAAGCGTGATTTGCGGAATCGGTACGGTGCACCGCACTGGTCGCACGCGATTGCCGAGCTTGAGCGAGAAGAGAAGCGCCGCCAAGAGTCCAGGCAAGAAGAGTGAATGAACTACATCGTGAAGATCCTATAGCGTCAGCGGCTGTGCCTCACAAGAGCAGAACCGACCGTGCATGTACCTTCATTGTGCCTTTACACTTGCAAGGACTAATGAGTCGACCCATGTCTTTGCCTTTTTCATTCTTGGAGCCTGCACCTTCAAAACAGATTCGGCAGATGACTTGCTCTTGTTGTTCGCGAAGGAAATCAGCTTCTTCCTGCGCTCTTCGGCGTTCCTCCTCTGTGCGACTGGTGTCTTCATCCTCCACGTTGTTGGCTCTGGCTTCTCGAGTGCGCCTTTGCAGATGCTTCTCGGATGCTGCATCATATTTATTTTCAGGCGCCTGCTTTTGGTCCCCATGTTTACTCTCGCTAACTGCCAGCGGCCACGCAGAGGGCCCCACTGGCGCCCTTTTTCTCGTGAGGCGCCCGACAACTTCTCCGCTGTGCTCGATCCTCCACTCGTAGGCAGAATGATCGATCAAAAGCCGTTTGAGCCTACCCACGTCATCGACAGACCAATTGGCCGGAACATAGCCGAGCACTGGATGCCGATTCCAGGATGTACCCGAGAGGCTGCTGGATTCAGCGCGTGGAAAACTCAGTTCCGGAGGTGGCAGCGGCAGCTGCGGCGCCTCGCCAGTTGCTCTTTTGGCATCCGCATCCGACTCAGGCTCTTCCGCACTGTCTTTCGCAGTGAACAGTGTCGTGCCGAAACCTGGAGGGAAAAGCGTTCGAGTCCTACTGTAGCGGGATTCATTTGGTACCTCTGCGCCTGTAAGGACACACAAGAAGGGTGCGTCCTTTTGAGCTGGAGTAGGACTCTTCCCTGGGGTTCCTTGACCACGCTCTCGAAGCCAGTCGAGTCGCCATCGATGGCGATGACTCTCGATTTGCTCGTAAAAGCCTTTTTCACCAGTTTCGGTCGGGGCCGTCGGGTGAATGGACCCGTCTTGCGCTCTTTGCGGATTCTGGTGCTCCACGGTGTGCTCGCCACCGGTGTCGGTCTCTCCATCTGCGACGGTGTGCCAGCCGTAGGCCAGGGAAGCAGCGTTAGGTAGCTCTAGAAAAGGGTCTTCAGGGAGTTGCTGATCTGGGAGGCGCTTTGAAAGTGCTTCAGGCCCAGTCCAGCCTGGTTTGCTTGAGGAGCTGTGACGGCCCGCCTGTGGGGTTGCGAGGTTGTTGCGAGAGTCGCGATGCCGTAGGCCAGCGCCTCCGGATACAGACATTTCGGCCCTATCATCGATGTGTGTCTCAAGGCTAACGAAAGTGCCTGGCAGGTCAGCTGCATTGGCTTCGTCGGCGCTGCTACGCAGCGAGTCGGTCGAAATGCGTATTGGGTATGACGAGGGCATCGTGACCTGAATGCTGCCGTTACTCGAAGTCTGCGTGTCTCACTTCCGAGCCGGTGCACCATTCAATTCATAAGGCAGGTGACGGAGGCACCGGACGGGATTCAAGCTGATGATTGGTTAGTTGGTCCAAGTTCAAAGGAGGACGATCTATATAATTCAACCTCCAGGCTTGACCCAACGTGGAGTCCGCATTGAGGTTCGATTATTACGTTGCCGTGTTCCACGTGTCGTCAAGAGCGAGAGCTTAAGAAGTCGCCGACGAATTCGCCGAAATCATTGGTGCGATCAATTAACCCACGTCAAACGAAGTATAAACTAAATCCCGATTTTACGGTCCATATACTACCCTGTCTCCAACGTCCAAGGACGGGTTAAACATCACGCAGGCAATCACTCACATAATGCACAACACAGAAGAGTGAGATCAGAAGATTCGATTCAAATCGTTTCGATTGAGCACAGAACCGGCTGCTCGATGACAGTTGGCCACGGGTTTCCAAGCCGCCAAGCAGGTCATCCTCAAGCCGGCAGAGCATGGCTCATTTCTGGAAACCTGGCACAGCACGGCCAGGTAAGTCTTATATACCCCATTCTCGGAAACCAAGAAAGACAGCGCTAAAACATGTTCAATTTCGGATACATGAATGGACAGGGTCTTCGATTGACCGCAGTACCGAGACCGAGTCAACAATTGATCCTGGCGCCGTACAAAATGCTTTGCGAGGCCAAACCAGCATTCAAGCACAACGGGAGAGTCTGCCGATCTTTGCGCATCGCTCCGAGCTGCTTTACACGATTGAGAAACACCCAGTCGTGATCGTGATGGGGCAGACTGGCTCCGGAAAGACCACTCAGCTTCCTCAGTACCTGCTTGAGGCTGGCTGGGCCGGCAGTGGAGCCATTGCTGGCGCGCCGAAGTGTATCGCCTGTACACAACCACGGCGCATCAGTGCGATCAGTATTGCGAATCGTGTGGCGCAAGAAGTGGGAAGTGTGCTAGGCGATGAAGTGGGATACACGGTGCGATTTGAGGATCTTAGTCATCCTACACGAACAAAGATCAGGTACATGACGGACGGCATGCTTTTCAGAGAATGCATGCGTGACCCGCTGTTGAGCAGGTACAGCGTGATCATGGTGGATGAGGCTCACGAGAGGGGCGCATATACGGACCTGTTACTTGGACTGCTCAAAAAGTGAGTAAGGCTTTAGGCGCCCTGAAGCTTTGGCGCTTACTGTCTTTGTATTGCACAGGATCCGGCGGAAAAGGCCCGAGCTGCGCCTGATCATCTCGTCCGCAACCTTGGAAGCACAGATGCTGCTGGACTTCTTCAGCGAAAATGATACTTCCTCTGATCCATCCACGAACTTTAACGGAAAGAAGCGCAAGCGCCAATTCAGCGACGATCCAGAGCCTGCGGAAAACCATGCGCAGCCAGAAGCGTGCATTATCTCGCTTGAAGGGCGTTCGTATCCTGTTGACGTGGCATATATGGACAATGCGCCAGAGGACTATGTCCGCGCTGCCGTCACTACGGTATGGGACATTCACAGGCAAGAAAGCATGCCCGGTGATATTATGGTCTTTTTGACTGGGCGCGAGGAGATCGACACTTTCCTGCAAATGCTAGCGGATCAATGTCTCACCCTGTCTAGGGAAGCCGATTCCATGACGCTATTGCCGCTTCATGCCGGACTGACCCTTGATGAACAAGCCGCTGTTTTTGCTCCGGCTAGGCAAGGAAAAAGAAAGATCATTGCAGCAACGAATATTGCGGAAGCGAGCGTCACGATTGACGGTGTAAAATTTGTGGTCGACTGCGGTTTCGTCAAGGTAAATGCGTGTGACACCTGGTCCTTGGGAAAAAAGGGGGCGGATGGCAGCTGAAAATATGTTTCCCATATGCAAACACAGGTTCGAAATTTCAATCCGCGGACTGGAATGGATGTTTTGGCTGTAGTATCAGAAAGCCAAGCTTCGGCCACACAACGAGCCGGTCGAGCCGGCCGCACTTCGCCAGGCAAATGCTTCCGGCTTTTTCCCGAATCCGTTTTCAAGTCGTTGCCTGTACAAACATTACCGGAGCTGGCGCGCACGGACTTATCCCTACCTGTGCTGCAGCTCAAGGCACTGGGGGTCGACAATCTTGCGCGCTTCGAATGGCTCCCTCCGCCTCCACCGACAGCCATGCTTATTCGTGCGCTTGACTATCTCGCTGCACTCGGCGCGCTTGACGAATTCGGTCGGCTCACCAAGCCACTCGGCGAGCAGATTGCTGAAATGCCAATGGAGCCCAGTCTAGCGAAAGTGATGCTCGAGTCCGCGAAGTATCGTTGCGGCAAGGAGGTCCTCACAATCGCCGCTATGACCAGCGTCACCTCGCCCTTCATCATTCCGGATGAAGGACGCTCGCGAGCAGGCGCGGAGGGCGAACTGGAACGCCGAAAATTCGTTGCAGAGGAAGGCGACCACCTGACGCTGCTCAACGTATACAATGCATTTGTCAACCCTCGCGTTGGCAAGCAATCTGCAAAGTGGTGCAGTTCGCATCGGCTCAACTTTAAAGCACTCAGTCGAGCGGTGTCTATTCGTGGCCAGCTTGAAAAGTATATGAAGAGATTCAAGTTGCCGCTCGAAAGCTGTGGGGGCGACCACACGCTTATACGCAAATGCCTCGTGTCCGGCCTGTTTCGCAATGCAGCCAAGATGCAGCCGGACGGTAGCTATCGCAGCTCGAGGGAGCAGGCGGTAAGTCGATAAGCAATGAAGCTGTGTATGCCTCTTTTTGACACCAATCTCGGAGCAGGTCCTGCATGCGCACCCGTCATCCGTACTTTTCAACCGTAATCCGTCGACCAAATGGGTCATTTACAACGAGGTGGTGGAGACGAGCAAGCGCTTCATGCGCGACCTTACAGTGATAGACGAGGTAAGTCAAGGTTTCTGAGTACTTGCAGCAATGTTCCTCAATCATTTTACTTGATTGCATACAGGACTGGCTGCTGGAGCTAGCGTGAGTTCGATGACGCTGTATAGCCTTTCGTTGCTGACTGAAGTTCACCCATACAGACCACATTACTATGAAGTCAAAGATAAACGAGGGCGCCATTGACAAGTCATAAACGCCCCACCGCGGACACCTATTGTAACATTTATAGCAAACAGCACATGATCTTGGGACCATGTTGAATGGGCCATCGCTCATGGGTGGAACTGAATTTCCAGTCTTGCACGCTCTATTCACATACACCGAAGTTTGATTGTTTTGGAGAAATAAATGTATAATATTGTAGCAAAGTGTAGTTGTTGTTGTAACAGGTATAAGTGACAGGCATAAAGCACTTCAATGCAAGCTAGCAATATAGACCTTGGGAATCGCCGAACCCCTGCTCACCTGCAGACATCCAACCAAATAACACCTGGGGTGAGCCCAATGGCCGCGCACGTTCAGGTAAAAGGGAGCGGGGGAAACGAAGGTGATGAGTTGTAATAAGGAAAGGGTGTACCGAGAGGCAACCTTAGCGGCATTTCGCGAACTTGTTTGAAGAATACAAATAGTACTACTAAAGCGAAGTATGCATCGTGCCTACATTGTATAGTGGTCATTATGCCTGCTTTGGGTTCTTGTGTTTAAACACCTAACACTCGATTGCAGGAGGTCCTCGGTTCGAATCCGAGTGTAGGCCGATCTTTTTTACTCAATTTCGCCTGAGTGCCTAATTTTTTTTCATTGGAGGGTGTTTAATTTCCATTTATATCGCCGGTTGTCACGTCAACGGTTATCCTTTTTGAACAGGCTGGCACCAATCGACTGTAAATTGGTTGAGAACACGGCTCTCACTGCAGGACGCTTGGTTCCATGGAGATGGCACGTGTCATGCACAAGGCTTGGTATGAACTTTCCACGCAACAGAATGTCTCACTAACCAGGCGCAGGGAACCAGTCTTGTTGTGTCATTGGACATGTTCTTTAACACACGATGTCCTCCAACAGCGCACTCTCGTACGCTGAAGGAAAGTGCTCCGCAAACATCTTGGGATGCAAGTCTGGCATGCTGAAGAATGCAAGAGGACTTGTGATCGAGTAAATATCTTTACCGCTGATCCAGATACTCTTGCCAGCAGGGACAAGTACGCCACCGCTGGCAGCTTCGCTCTTTATCGTCGCGCTGTCCAATGCTTGCCTCCGCGCCGCAAGCTGGTGCAGGGGTGCAGATGCCCGTTGTTGCGGGCCAATCCAAGGTGACGGTGGGACCGTAGACTGCTTGGAAGCGACAGTTGCCGCACGCTGCTTCACCGCAGCGTACAGATCGGCCTCTACATCACATCGAAGCCTCCACATTTGCCGTTCAATGCGCTCTTTCCGGTCGAGCATAACAGCATCTGGCTCCTTTGTCCGCTGAATTGCTTTCCAGTCCCACCAACTCTTTGTCACATGCACACGTGCGTCGTCACTGCCTTCCGTAGCTAATTCGTGCCTCCGACGTAGCCGACAAAGCGCGCCCAAGACGCGCCGAAGCTCGCGTGCTTGCCCGTGACCGCAGCGAGGGATGATGTCTGCGCCAAGGACAACGGAAAGGACAAGCGGAATGCGCCCCATCGCCGCCCTTTCTGATAAGGATGCACTCGCAGTCGCCGGATGGGCGAATGTGATGGCTCGAATTTTGCGTCCAACAGGAAGACCGCAGTCTGGCTTAATCACCCAGCGCCCACCGTTGTGTGCCTCGTTGTCTCTGACCGTGTATTGACCAATCAAGAGGGCTACTGCACTGGCAATTGCACCGCCCAGGGAGTGTCCGGTCAAAACGAGGCCATATTCGTTCTCCTCTGCTAACGCTTGATTCAGGGTGCTGAGTAGCTTCGAGTCCTTTCTGACAAGCCGTTGCGCCGCTCGCCAAACACCAGCGTGGCACTTCATCTCGTGTGGAGCGTTCTTGTCCTGCAAGGGCGGCAGCTCGACGTCCTCCAACTGTATATCGAGGTCGACAATGATGTCTTGGAAACTTTGGGTGCCGCGAATTGCAACGATTACCACCTTGCGTATCTGGTCCTTGATGACGTAAAATGTCGGACTGTACGCTGCTTCGCTGTCCAGCGTCTGAATGTCAGCGTGCAAGACATCGTCTGGATTGAGGCGGGAGAGGTAGGCAAAGGTCTGCCGCGAGAAGCGCTCGCCAGATGGGGTAAACGTCTCTGGCAAGTCGACGATGTGGACGTGAAGGCCATACGCAGAAATTGCCATTGTCGATGCCCATTTAACACTTTTTATGATGTCGCAGGGGCCATCTTCCCAGAGCCCGCGGTCCCGTGAGAGCCTGCAGTCCCGTGGGTTGCTTCGACGCGTTTCAGGGAAGTAGCCGAAGTTCTCCCGTGAAGTCGTCCGACGGGGACGGACTCTGGGAGTCTTGGTGAATTGGAGAATATCGTCATCCTGATTTGTGACGATCATTTCCTCTTCGCTCCCCTCGTCATCGGACGAGTCCGCTTCTGCCACCCCATGCTCTCGTCGCCAGCCATCCAGCTTTTCCAGACCGGCTCCCTCTCGGTGGTACCGCTCACGGGTCACGTCGTGGATGCAGTAGAGCTCGAAGAGGGAGCGCAAGACCTGCCACTGTGTGAGCCCGCGCCGCTGGCGCCGACCGATTTTGGATAGCCAAGTCCTGGCAGCCGCGTGAACAGGTTCTACTAACATCTCATGATCTTCCAGTACCACCAACGACCATTCTCGCACGATAAGGTGATAAGCCTCAATGATGCAGCGGCTCAGCACTGTGCGCCCCGTCAAGTTGAGTGCCGTCCAGTGCAAGAACCAAAGCGCGAGACACGCTTGTTCCCAGATCTGCATGGCAAGATCGATGAAATGTGCCGTGATGAAGACGACGAAGCCGAAAGCGTAGCCGATGATGCCAAGAATTATACCAACCTGCGCTGTGGCAGGCGGAGTATGCTGAGGATGTAGCGCTCGAGCTGCAAATGAGGTCCAGGTCCCAAGGCCAAGGTCGCCAATGAAGAACCAGAGCAAGAACGAGCGCCCATATCCCGGTGGCCGTGCTACGATTTCGGATGCATCTTCGCTCATGTGTGAATTCATTCGGCAATTGGGATTCTTCCGATGCGTAATACTGACCACACGGCGCGAATCTGGCATGCGCTCATGTTGGATTGAGGTGTAGGATGGAGTCGCGTCGGCCAGTAGGGCAGTCGGAGTCATGCGTGCGTTGTGCTGCTTCTTTCGTTTGGAGGGAGTTGGAGAGTGATCCTCGACGACTTCTAGCGCGGTAGGCACCAAGCGAGGGCTCCAAGGAGACGCGAACCTGGAACTCGTCATGGCCAGGTGCAGTTGGAGCTTGGGGTATCCTTTAAGGGGCGATAGCGCGTCCCGTACCCATGGGGACGGAGGAAGGCTCAGATGCGTAGGGCCAAGTTGCGGTGTAGGAGGCATCGTGCCCGGCCGACTGAATGCGTTCAACTGTGACTTGGGTGGAAGATCGTCTTGCAACAGGAAAGGCGAAAAGGGAGAACCGGGGCTGGAGAGCTGCACGGGGATGAGCTTGGGTGCTTTGGGGATATCCCGCGCAGAACGCGTCGAGCGCGTTGATTCTCGACTCGTGGCGCGGACAATGGGCGACTGCGGACAAGGCAGTGGGTTGCGGAGGGCATCGATAAATTCGTGTTGCAAGTCGACGCTACTGGACTGCCTTCGCCGTTCCATGTTGCTCATGCGGCCAGCTTCCAAGGGCTGCTGCTCGTATACTATGTCCAAAGGCATCTCCGGGATTGTGAGAGAGGCTTTGCGACTCATCCCAGCTGATCCCCCTCGCTCTCGTAACACTGGTGACGATCGAGTGGCGAAGATGTCATCTTCTAAGATCGAGCCCGGCGCGTTCTGCATCGGTGTTGTGGCAAAAGGAGCGGCCACAAGACTTGTTGGAGCTCCATTTGCGAGGTCCTCGTCCGCAAAATCCGCAGGTTCCAGCTTCTCTGGGTAGGTATGTCGTCGACGAAACATGAATGGACTGTGCGGCCGACCGGTGGCTCTGGCGGCCTGCTTTGCGGCCTTGTCGGCCGCGTGGGCGGCTCTCACAAAGTTCGTCAGCGCTGTCAGCATGCCGACCTTGTGCGCGGGGCGATTTCGCGCGCGTAGACGATCTAACTGCTTGCGCTTGGCATCAAGCTCCCGCGCACGATGTATACCCAAAATACCTGCCAGGCAATTTCGATCAACTTGCTTGCTACGAGAGTCGGGTACGCATGGGCGTTACAGTAAACTCACCTTCAAACGCTCTCGGATCATTAGAGGCGTCGTCCAACAGCGGGGGTGGCAAGAGCAGAGCACCTTCTTCGTATCCATCACCTGGCCTCGCACGCCAAGCATATCCACCGAGCCACGCACCGGGCATCCCGACTGGACTCGGCGGTGCATCGGGTAGCGGATTACTCTCTGACGCCGGAAACGCTGACCCGGGCCCGAATACCCTCGGAGCCTTGCTACCAGGGGATGTAGCTCGCAGATTCAGCGTCTCACCCGGCGATCGACGCAACCCATGCGCCGGAAAAGCGGTTGCCGGAGGGGTTGACCCGACATCGAGAGAGAATGGATCAGCATCGCCTCTGAAGAGGTAAGATTTCGGACCTGACAGGTCGGTTTGAGGTTCGCCAGGCTGTTTTGACGGAGACCGACTCATCTGGAAGCTTGGCAAGCTCCTTTTAGTCCCGACGCGAACGAATGCGTTGCCTTCTTCGTCCTTTTCTTCACATTCTCGCTGGGGATCCGCAAATGGCATGAGGCTCTCTCTCAAGGTGTTGGTAAACCATCTGCGTTCCTTGCGAGAAGCGATTGTTTTGTCACCACCTGCCGCATTTGCGTCTGTGGCACTACCTTGCTTTCCGGGCATGTTGAGCTTGGGTCTGAAAGCTTTTGCTCCACGAGCATGCAGCCAAGTGAGCTGCTCGCCCCAATTTCCTGCAAATTTTTCCGTTGGCCAATACCCTTCTTCGTCTGACTTCGCGCCTCCAGTGATCAGCGCTTTCGCAGCGCTATATATGATAGAAATGAGCCCGTTCGGAGGAGGGGCACTGATTGCATCGTCGTCGCCGAATGCACTGCTGGGTCTCCGAGCGCTGCTCAGGGAAGAGACTCTGCCGGATGCATCTGTGCCGAGCAGCAAGGCTGAAAAGGCTTCAAGAGCACTGCCGTTGCTCACAGGCTTTTGACAGGCCGTTGGACCACGTCTAGATGGATTTTGCTTCAAGAAGAGTGGTGGTGGCGGCGGGGCACCCGAGCCCTCTGACAAGTCTTCATTTGACGAATCAGCAGAGGCAAAAATGACATTGTGAGGCCCTTCCTGCTCGGACTCCGCTGCGCATTTCCGCCTATCCTGATTCATTTGAAAGGGTTCTATTGAACCCCTCGTCGTCGGGGTTACCGATGGGTCGTCCCCATGGCCATGAAGAGGGTACAACGCACCAGTTCTCGACAATATGGCGGATGTCGTGATGAACCTGACGCCTCCTGCAGGGATCGTTCCGCTTCCCAATGACGAATGAGTAGAGTGATGGCGATCTATAGACGGATCTCTTTTGATCGCACGCACAGGAGCAAATGCAGGTGGTGAGAGTCCTTGGCTCGGGGGAGAGATAGAAAAGGGAATGTTGGTCGATGACTTTTTGGTCAACGCTGATGCCTGGGGCATCGTGATCAGCAGGCTTGTCGAATCTTTCGCCCTAGATTGATTCTGGGGGCTACCAGCGTCATTCTCCTTGACGGAGAGTTCGAGATGATCCTCGCTTGGCTCGGGTAGAGCTGTAAGTGTTAAAGGTGTGATCGCCTCATCAAGGAGCGGCACATCAAGCTTGTCGCTGCTAAGATTTTGGGACCACTGTGTTTGATGAGAGGGATGTGACGTCGGCGGTAGAGACAAGGGTGAGAGTGCCAAGTCCAATTCCGAGATTGACGACATTCTGACCGCTGTTGATCACGCGGGGCGAATGACCACTACGGCTGCGAGCAAGCCATCCGCCACAGCCATCACTTCCCGTCCACCCGTTTAGCTCCCTTTCGGCCCACCACAATTTCTTAACATCGCATGAGAGCGACCTTCATGAGCTCATCACAGCGAATCCGTTGCGTTGTCCGGTATAGCACTGCAAAATCGCCTCTAAAGTCCTATCTAGTCTTGAACAAAGTCTGTGCAAGTAGCTTAGCCAACACACGAGTTGTTATCCTCTGTATTATGTCATTTTACCCGAGTGAATCTGAGTGACGATCGGTGTCACGGACTTCCGGCCCGGCAATGGCGGAACCCACACAGTCCTCAGCATCAGCGTTAAAGGGAATCTATCGAATGCTTCGAGATTTTGGAGATGCTCTTCATATGATGGCATCGAATTGACATGCGCCAGGGCTATAGTTTTACAGTCTGGCGGTTTGGATGGTTTTCGCGGGCAGAAGATGCAGTATGCACATCGCGGATAAGCGGCTCACTTCGTCTACCCCGCGAAGATGAACACCAGTGGCGGATTTTTCATGGACAGCCCGTGGGCGAGTGGCAGCGGCCGCGCTAGCTCGTCATCGTGGCTGCCTTCCGACCGGACCAGCACGTCTGCACGGAGAGGCAATGCACCTGCTGTACAGGCTGAGGCTGTTGCACCCTTGAAACTTTCTGCGAAGCAAGAGATTAGGCTGATGATTTACCTTGATGACAAGTTTAACGAAATCGCCCGTGGCCATGCAAAGAGGTGAGTGGTGAGGGGGGTTAAGCGTCGGTTCGAGCCAGCTGTAATCATCACCCCGCTCATCCTGCCCCAGATATGAGTCAACGAGTCCGCTGCAAACGTTGCCGGCCTATATCGACGCAGTCGAATCATTGTTAAGTGTCATCATCAAGATTCCACCCTACGGGAACGCAGCGTCTTTGCTAGTTTCCTATCTGCTACGCGCAAGTTCTGATATCACGGACGCGATTCCCAACTACAAAGTTACTAGCCAAGTGCCGGCCGGAGAGGAGGCATCACGCTTCCGGAAGGCTCAAGGAGAGCTTGCTCGGGCACTCACCACGCTGGAGACGTTGGACCGTGTGTGGAACGCGATCCTCTGTGGCGAGCAAATCGTGTGGGACAACACGTCCCGCAACGCTAAGGAGAGCGTCGATCACGCTGTCTTTAAGAGGCGGAATGGGATTTATGATGATGATGCAGCTGTGCCAACTGATTCAGAAGCAGAAAGATACGACGAAGACGACACGGAGCATCGCACGGCTGCACGCTACCTAAACAGCTCCCCTCACAAAACCTCAACTGCTGCTTCAGGGATGGCGCTGCGGGATAGCGTGCCGATTCTGGGATCAAAGGGCATTCGGACTGTCGCACAGACAGACCGTGTCAGGATAAGAAACATTATCGTGATGGGGAAAGACACGCTGTTTAGTTGGATGAGGGAAGCTCTTGATGCGCCAGTGCCCCCGCGAGTAGTAGATGAGGTAACGGGCGGTCGTTTCGAAGGCACAGAGGAGCAATCAAAGGAAGAGAATAATGATGCTGGGGACGAAGGGGGCGAAATCAAGGCTGGAGCATCCCACACAGGTCGAAACCCTGCTTCATGTGGCTCGATATTAGAAGAGCTGCTTGTCGATCAGGGCAACCTCAATTCCGATTTTACATCCCGGCACGAGGACCCTGACGTTAAGGGTGCGGACGGAGCCGAGATGAAGAAGTACCAAGAAGCACTTGCGCAAGAGGAACAAGAGGAGAACGGAGAAATGGCAGAAGTGGTGCTCCCGGAGCAGGCAGATGAAAATGATGCGGCGCAGGCACTCGAAGACGAGCAGGCAACGGGGACCTTGAGTGCTGGCGATTATCGTGGAACTGAGGAAGACGAAGGGTTGGAAGAGGGCGGCAATGTAGAGGAAAGAGTTCACTTCAAAGAACTTTTCGACAGGAAGGTGAGTTCGTCGCAGCTTGCACAGGCTGCAGCCGCGAGTCTCATGCAATGTCTCCGCTTCCGTAGCTCGATCCAGATGCGTCGGAGGACGAGGAAGCCGACGACTTCCCGCAGACAGTAAAGCCAGCACTGTTGCACAAAAGCAGCAAAAGGGAGCACTCGCCTGGAGATGAGGTGTCGACCAAGAAACAGCGAACAAAATCGCAAGAAGATGATGTAGAAGAGACACCGTCACCTCCCCTGCCCAAACCTCATCATCAGCAACACCATAGAGCAGCGATGCCAGAGTGGGACCTCGCTTTTGCAAGACTTTTTCATCGTACACTGCAGACCATCAGCGATATTGCAGAAGAGCTCGGCAAAGAGGAAGGGCCGGAGAAGCGAACGCGCAAGGAGGCAGGCGGCCGGGCATAAATAGGCTGCCATTACTATCGTTACTGCATGCATGCGCTTCCTCAGCAGCGCTTCCACACGAGAGATCGTGTATGGTTATTTTGATTGGCGCCAGTCAAGACGCCAGTTATAACGGTGGCTTAAACCAAATGTTGGGCTCAGGCCCAAGTTCGTGACAGGCCCATCAAATCCGGTAACATATCGCGCATGGTAGTCACGGGCCGCCGAAAGCATGATGGAGAACGAAAGCGCCTCATCAGACATCGGTCCCACAGTGGTGAAGTTGCTTCAGACCCGAGGAAAGGCAAGACCGACCCCGTCAATTTCAGCTCACAGCCTGACATGCGCAGTTTATAATCAAGTCACACTTACAGAGCATTGACGGTCGTGATGGCATTGTAAATGTGGCCATTCTCCGATCATGTGTCCCGGGATACACTGGAAGACGCGCTCTGCCAGTGATATAAGGAATTAGTCCTTCTGCGCCATGCTAGCTAGACGGAATGTCGACCCTGTGCCATGTAATAACTGAATCGCAGTTAGCGGTCATTTGTCGCTTCGGCGTTCATCAAGCACACTGACAAGCAAGAAGCCTGGAACTCGGTCGCTGACGAACGTCTTGGTTCGGTTCATGTAATTGTGCCATAGGCCGGTGGTCCGATCTGCCAACTTGCCGGCAGATTCGAACAGCTGATGCGTCCAAAGGAACAAGTCATTTCTCTAGTTCGCCATATCTTCCGCATGGCGACTATGCATGATGCCGACCAAGGCGTGTAGCATGCCTGCTGCCGCCCAGCCGTTACCCAACAACCAGATGCTTCCAACTTGACCGAAGATATTTATTAAATCAGGTGAAGTTCAATACTGCCTGCAAAGAAGGCATCAAGATGTCACCCACCATGCCCCCTTGTCAAAATCATATATCGCGCCATGTGCCCGTCCGATTGGAGCAGCACTTTTCGATAAAGGCACTTTTGGTCGTAGGCGAACTGTAAAAGGGTCCGGTTATGGTATACCAGACCGTAAGTCCCAAGCTGGAGGCCATGTCGAAAGGAATCACTCCATGTCTGCAGGTCGGCATTACGCCGGCCGATTGCACCGTTGGACGCATGTGCCGTCTTGTTCAGGATGAAGTCAAGCTCCTTTGTAGCGCCATCCATATAGCACCCTCCTTTATTGACGCCTCCAACAACCTCCCATGTTGGAAGGCCACGAGAAGGCCCCAGGAGCGCAATTGGAAGAATCGAAGTAAGCATCAGTGGAACGTTGCTGTTCTGCGGTGGTATACGCGCAAAGTCTTCCGTAGGAGCCTTGCATGGATACCCCGTGGCAGGCTATAACTTCAACGAAAGCCCGCAGGGGGGATTCCATCGCTTTTTGGCGGATTTGAACGTTTTGACTGGCTTTGACGGCTACAGACGGGCGCGATTGGCGCGTTCGAGAAACATGACCATTCTAAGCCCCCTTCGAGCTATCGAAGAGGTATACGAGCGATAGCATCAGTCAATGGGTTGCACTCATAGAACAATTCACTTTGAGTCGTACTTTCAGGATGGCACTCATGGCGGTGCCCTACACCCAACTCAGGCGCCGAACGGTCGTGAGGCCTAGGTACATGGCATTGAAGAGCGTCTGATTTACCCCGAATGGGCTAGGCAGGGTGCCATCAATCACGGTGCTTTCCTCAAATCGAATGACATGCTGCTGCTGAGTAGTGCTGGCCCATGCCGGATTGGCGTAGAGGCGATAGCGCCAAGCACCAAGGGAGTTAGAGCCGTTATCATCTTAGCCTTGTATTCGTTACTAGCGATGAGGGACTGAACTCACTAAATTGGGCTTCAGGTGAAAGATCGTTCTCAGGAGGCGGAGGCAAGACTAAAAATGGCCGCTCTGCGGTGAATCAATTGGACCATAAGATATATTTTGAGTCAGCGAACGATTCGAGGCTGTGTAATTTGTATCCCATGTCGATGCGACGGCTAAGTGTAACAGGTATGTGCCGCTCTCAGAAGACGATGATGGGCCATGATAGCGTGACTGCGAGTAGCATGACAATCGAAAGAGCACCACTGAGGAAACAGTACGCCCCGCGGCCTGCCTCAGTTTAACAATCCGAAGACTAAATAGGGTCATACTGATCATTGTTATGTGCTTTCACCCCTTCGTACATCAGAAACCCGAGCAAGACGAATGTGAAGATCTGACAGGATCTACCTTGCGAAGTGCAAAATTCAGGCACGTTCGTCAGCATCGGGTCTGCTGCAAAAACGGCCCCACAAGAGCTGCACCCCTCTAGGTCTTGGATGCCGACAATAGGCCTAGTCTCACTGAGTCATTCAAAATCACATGATCTCCATTGGCCTGATATTGCAATGCGGAGCGTTAGCAACTCGGTTGAAAGAAACACTATTAATATCGCAGGCAATGTTCACGGTTGACGCAAATGGATGTTTCAATGCGAAAGGTGGACAAGCTCATCTCCGCTTGTTCTTGCCATTGTTCTTGCCTTTATTCTGCACCCTGGCGATATCTTGCTTGCTGAGACGCAGAGCACCGTCACGAAATGTCCCAACACCCATGCTGAGACCTCTGAGACGATCCTTCTTCAGGTCTTTTCCCTTGCTCATTGATGCCTCTCCACGCTTCAGCTCCGGTCGGTAGATGCCTAGCTCCTTTTCCCGCTCAACTTCCTTCTTTTCCCGCTCTTTGCGCGCATTTTCGAGCCCTCTTTGCATGTTCGTCGGCATCCTTCCATTCTGCGTCTTCTTGAAAGCCATCTCCCCCCAGCCGCGACCGACAGCTCCGCCACCGCGCTTGGACTCCGGCGTGCTCAGCTCCATGATACGTGCGATCGTCGCGGCAGAGGACAGGTCGCGCTTGCGGCCGTCATCGCCTGATGATGATCCAGGTGCAAAAATGGTCGTGGCTAGAAGCTGCGAGAGTAGACGATCATTTGATGCGTTTTTCTTTTCGTCTTCTACTTCCGGGTCAGACTCTCCCTCGCCTGCTTTCCGCTTGCCCTTGCGATCCGCTGCCGATTCTGCAGTCTGAGTTATACGTGAAACTTTTGAAGACTGTGGGACCAAAAGGTGAATGTTAGTATCTAGGCGCAAGGCAAATTTCCAGGTACATCGAACGCACCATGAAGTCTTTGCGGTTCACAGGCTCTTGGGTGAATTGTGACGAGCTGGAGGCTCCGTCGAAAACGACGACGTCTGGAGCCGACTTTTTTTTCGCAGGTGCCTTTGCAGGTATATGTCCAGGACGACTGCCCTTATGACGGAGAAACCCCTCCAGTTCGTCTTCAACCCTGCGATGAGAGCTGGACGAGGGCTCAAGCCCTGTTTTTATTTCGGTAGGGCTTCGTGTTGCTTTTGTATGTGGTTTGTACGGCTTCCCCCGATCAGGCAGGTCGAAATTCGCCATGAAATTTTGACCAAGCGCCTCCAGTTGAGCAAGCGCCTGTGACCGTTCGTCCCTTTCTTCTGACTGGACATGGGCTCTAGCTTCTGCGGCTACAAATTGTAATTCAGGTTCTGCTGCAACATGTGACGACTTGCGAGCCACAGCAGACGAATCAGTGAGCCTCGCTCGCTTTTGGGCCCTTTGCCTCTCGCTCGCTGGTACGGCTGAAGTATCCTTGGACATGATGAAGGAATGAGTCAAACTTTGCGCCTGCAGTCCGCTCGCTGGCCAAGCGTGGAGAGGGCTGCGAACAATGAACCGCCGTCTGTATATTGAAATGAAGCAAAGGTCATGACCAAAAAAAGTGATGATTGTTCAAGGTCCGTAGAACCTCGATCACAAGTGGGCGGAACGCGTTATCCATTAGTCAAGTGCCCTCGGCCCTCTGCCTCTGGCAAGGTGAGAAGTGCCGCTCCGCCTCTCTCAACTTTTGGCTCACAGCTGATGCCAGGCTGCAGGCATCCCCTCTCGCGAAAAATCGATACTGTTGTCAGAAGATGCTTCCTCTCCAAATGGCACGGCTGCTCGGTGGCTAGGAGAATCACGGCAAGGAATACAGGCACATCAGTAGCCAGAAGTCGTCAGGTCTCGCACGCCTCTCTCAAGGTCGAGGAGCGTGACACTCGCAAAGATGGCGGCCATCTTCATCCCGCAGCGCTTCGAGAGGCTGCACCAGCTCATCTGTGACGCGCTCGGGGATGGGACGTCGGCAGAGCTGACGGCATCCAGCTCATGGCTTGTTACTCTAGACACAGCGAGGGAGGATATAGCAATTTTGGGCAGGGCCAAACCGCCGAGCGAAGCAGAGCGAAAGGAGATCGAAGGAGGTGAGTCAATTCATATGCTTTTCTTGCTGACATGTTAGTCGGCTGTTATGCTGATATTCGCGTATAAACAGGGTCGATCACTATCGATGGAACTACAGCCAACCTCCAGCAGGAATTTTCCCAGCAGACGTTGCATCTCTCACAATATCTCAGCCTTTCCGAGCGTTATGCGGCATCGCTGCTGCAAGTAGGTCTTGCCGGAAGGGCGCGATGGGCACGACCGCCAACCGAAGTCGCGGTCCTTCTCTACTATCGGGAGCGCCTGGCACTATTGGCCTGCTTGAAGGATCTACTCACGGCTCTTATAAACGCTCGCAATGGAGAAGCATACGGTGCACTCGACTCGATCCCGCAGGTTGAAAGCTTCTTGCGAAAGCTGACCGAGACAAAGGACCTCCCTCAGGCTGTAGGCCAAAAGGCCAGCTTCACCAAGCGCATTCTGGACGAGATTGAATTCACCACACAAGAAGTCTCTAAGTTGGAGAAGCGGATACACACGGGAGGTGCACAAGCACTCGCGCACCTGTTCAGCGACGATATTTTCTCTGAAAGCATTCAACTGCTGAAAGAGCAGGCAAGGGAGCTCGGTCACGTCCTTTACCTACTTGGAGTCGCCGGCATTCTACGGGCCGAGGGTGTGCTTGTCATCGCGAAATGGCTTGAGGCCGTTCCGCGGGAGGCATTCGGCACGAATTCAATTTATGTCCTCACTGCTCTTCTCGGAGCTCTGGACGCGTCCAGTTCGCTGCTGGACGACTCTTCATTTGTCAAGAGCATGACAGCACTGGCCGAGAGCGCAAGCTGGAAGACGCCCGCAATCCGCTGTGCAATGGCCTTGCAATGGGCTTTGCAGATGATTGGCCTGCTCAAGCGGAGCACAGGGTCCAGCGCAGAGTTGAGGAATCAAGAGGAGAAGGTCCAAGACCTCATCACTGGCGCGATCCGCGGTGGCGCCTTTGCGTTCTTTAATTTGAACGTGCTCGCTTTCCGACACGAGCAAGAAGAGGACCACATGTGGTTCAGCGAAGAAGAAGAAAATGGAGAGAGAGCCGCAGGCCAACCTGCAGACATCGACGCGACATTCCAAGAATACATTCTCCATCAGATCCAGCGACTCATGCAAGGCGTCAGCAGCGTGATGCTTCCGATTTTGCGCAAAGTGCAACGTGCAGAGGAGGACGCAGCATTTGCGTCTTCAAGAGGGCGCACTGATGTTCAAGAGCCACGGCACGACATTCAGCAGCTCTTCGACTTGATCGCCACACTCTGCCGAGGGAGGCCGAACGCTGGCCTTGATTTTTGGACTGGTCCAGACGGACGGGCGACACGCTTCCTTTTATGGGCTATCGAGTCGCGAGAAGCAGGGCATCAGCTCTCTCTGCTCGATATGCTTGCCGCCATGAGCGCAGGTGCCGAGAGCTCGCTACAGGCACATATGTTGCTCTCGAATCACGAGAGTGTCAGCGATCGGTTCGTTTCGTGGGATCACCTCTTCGACTGGGTCCAATACTACATTGATCTGTTCGCTAAGAGTCCTTCCTCGCAAGAAATGCCCCCTGAAGAGGCCAAGTTGCTCATCGCGTTCATGCGTCTGCTCCGTGGTGTCGCGTACTACAGCCAGGCAGCACGGGCATCGCTTTACGAGACGAATGAGTACCAAGTCATTACGCGCCTCTTCAACCTTTCGCTCTGCCACATCCACGTCGAGCTCAAGGCCGCGTTGCTCGATGCACTCGCTGCTTTTGCCCGAGAGGACAGCCCACATGCAGAGCGCATTGGTAACGACATTTGGAACCGAATGACTAAGGCAGATATTCTCGGCTCGGCTCGCTCTTCGCGCCCAGCCTTCGGAACGAGACCTGCTGGTGGCGGCACGGGTGCGATTCACACGCTCGAGCACGTCGAAGCTCCCCAGCACAACTACGCTGGGACATGCAGCCTGGTCAACTTCCTCAGCGTAATCCTTCCGCAAAGAGCAGCTCTGACAGACGACTATGTGCAATTTGTCACACAGTCCGTCTTTTTGCAAGCCTCTTCGCGCGAGTATGATCATCGCTCGGATCGATGGAAGGTGACATCTGCGTGTCTTGCATTCCTCTACCGCTGTCTGGATCGCTTCAAGGTGGAGGAGTTGCTCACGGGGACAGGCTCCTCGCCGGAGGCGCTTGCTGCGCAGCCTGGCTTCCTCGTGGCCAGGCATTTCCTCACGGGCTCGCCAGTCGAAAAGGAGCTGTTTGCCATCATTGGCATCGGCTTTGATACCTCCAATCGCGCTGCCACACCTTTGATGACCAAGGCTATTGAGCTTGCGTTGCGCTGCGTGCAGAGACTCTTCGATATTCAGGATATATTTTTGCAAGTGTTGCTGCCTGCGCTTACAGAGTCGTCGCAGGACCAGGCGCGCATCGGAGCCCCTACGCGGTACTCAACGCTCGACCAGCATCTGCTGCATCAACACCAGACTGCGGTGGACATCGCTCTCTACATCAACAGCACAGCTGCATCTGTTGCGATGCTCTCAATCAAAGTTCTCGGTCAGATTGCATCGTCGCCTGCCTTCTCCGCGATTGACCGCTTCAGCGTGGCCAACGGCCGGAAGAAGATGAATCGGCTTGTCGGTCTACTGGAGATGATGGATGAGACCGTTCGCATTCGTTCGGGCTACATTGAGCGTCTCGGCAACCCAGAGACTAGCCTGGCAGTAGACGAAAGCGGAGACGATTTCGACGGCGGATCCTGTTCAATACGCGTCGCGATCCTGGACCTTCTCCTCGAGCACGTTTCTGGCAATGCTCCAAATATCTCACACCTCCTTCTGGGCTACGACGTCTCTGCCGACACCCAAGTCATCTCCGATCCAGACTCAGCCGCTACTTCTCCCGGCGCCTTGCACACCATTTTGGCCCTCCTCAGCTCAGAAGATCAGAGCCTGCAGAGCATGCTATCGCAGTTCCCTACCTTGACGGAAAGGTGCTTCCAGCTGCTTCTCAAGCTTTGCAGTGAGCCGTTTTCGAGTGCAGCCACTCTGCGGTACCTTCGGACTCGCGAGGACTTCATTCAGTCTCGCTTGCCGCTAATTCCATTCGCGCCCATCGCTCGTCGGGACAGTGACGGCACGGCAGTCTTCGCGAATGGCCTAGCCTTGTCGACCTCCGCCGGAGCAGCAGTCTCGAATCTGCGCCTAAAAGCGGACTTGCTTGGCATGATCGCACTTGAGATTCATGCGCTCACCAGCGAGGACATGCTGAATGCAACTACACCGATCCTGAGCCTCTTGCTAGATGCGGAAGATGGCGTCGGTATTCGACTCCTTGAGCTGCTTTCCAGCTTCGACTTTGACTGGAACGATAATGGGGATAATGTTGAAGAAGAGCTCAGTCTGCTGGCTGACCTCAACATCAATTTGATCAAGCTACGGGGTGCCGAAGCTGTGGAGCAGGAATTTGACTTAGAAGCAGCTGCCACGCTGCTTTCGAACGCACGGGCGGAATTACAACGCACCGGCACCCTGCGTGAAGCATCACAAGCTTCTCGCTTTGAACATGAGGCGGTGGTTATTATGAGATACCTGGCCGCACGGAATGCGCACCGGTCGATCGCACATGCTCGAAGAGATGCGCTTCGCGCGTGGAAGCACACATTGGACATGATCTTATCGAGGTGCAGCATGCTGCTGCGGAGCGAAGACCGCCTCGTCGTTATTTTTGACTGCCTCGCCGCCATCTTGCCCCGCATCACTAGTCGCAGCGACCCCGCCACGATCGATTTACTGTCCGGCTCTGTGCTCGCACTGATCGCGACGCTCAGAGTCGGGACCGAAGACCAAAAGGATGCTCTGCCTGCGGATCGACTACTGGCAACTCTTCGTTCTCTCATTTCCGCCACTTTGCAGCCGGGAACGTCCACTATTGCCCGCGGAAGTCTGTATTCGGGCCTCATCAACTTCTTGCAACTCGCAAGCAGCAGCACGAGCAGGACTGATTCATATGACGCTGCAGAAGACGTCTCTATCAGCGGTGCTTCCGTCGCCTTTTCGGCAATTTCAGCGAGCTCATCGATGGTCTTGCGCGTCAAAGGGCTGCTGGCTGAAAAAGCAGAAAAGCTTGTCATTCTTGTCGCTCGTGATGCGCTTGACGCCAGCGACGTCTGGAAGACGGTTGCATACACCTTGCTCGACAAGCTCAATTGTCTCGAAAGCAGTCGAAGCCGACCATCGCGTATTTTGGCGGTCTTGTCTGGACAAGGCTACCTCAAGACGATGGCCTCATCCCTGCGAGAAATGGACCTTCCTCTTCAAGACACGCTGCGACCGGACCCCCCAACGCTGACTCCGACCTATGTTTATGAGGCCATGATGGCCTTCGCTGTCCGCCTAGCATCTTCAAGAGCAGGCGCTGAGGCGCTACTGGAGGCTCGCATGCTTGATGCGCTTGCGCAGTCCGACTTCTTGTCGGCTTCACCGGACCAAGATCAGGGCTTCATTGAAGCGGACACTTTTTTACCGGCTGTCCGAGAGCGGCAAGCTGCGTTGATGGCTCCTGCACTTGAGCTTTGCTTCGCTGTCTACTCTAGCACGGCAAGTGCGAGACAATCGGTACTCGCTCTCCTGAATGCCCACCACGATACCCTCGTCAATGTTCTCAAGGCTGTGTTGCGCGACATTGTGACCATTGGCCAGATCAATCTTGCTCAACTTCTTGTCACGCTGCTCGGGTTGCGGATGGCGAACAACGAAGTACCAACAGCGGCAGAAACAAGCTCTTTCCACAGCCATGTGCTGGGAGTTGCTGCAGCGTTCCTCATGATCGACACTTGGCGTGCTCGGGTGGTTCCCAGCAATGATGCTGAGAGGGAAGAGAGCTCTCGCCTAAACGTCCGGGAAAGTCTCACAGCTTTTGATGTCAAAGCCATCGCACAAGTCGAGCGTTTGCAGATATCGCTTCTCGCCTACCTCGAGACCGCGAGTCAAGGCCCACGAATGCGTCCTGTGCTTACTGCAGCGGTATCACCTCAACATGGCCTTTCCCACCCCCAAGCATTCGTCCAGAGAACCTTGGCGGCTCCGAGCATGTGCACCGCAATAACTTCTTTAGAGGAGGAGGTGGAGAAAATGTCCACAAGACTTCCTCGACTCGAAGCCGTTCTGTTTGCCCTCAAGTCACCCAACACCGTCAGCATTGATGATTGGGAGGATGTAAGTTTCCTTTTGCTATCTCTACGGTGCCTGATCTAACATTTTTGCCCCAACAAAGCTGTTGCGCGATGAGGCCGAAGTTAGCGAGCAGTTCATCGCAGATGCTGCTCGCCAGCCCAGTCTTGCGGTCTCATTTTTAAAGCTCCGGTTAGGCGCACGTCGTGCATCGATTGCACAAAGCCTAGGTGCGTTTCCTGTCCAGTCATTTCACTGCCACATGAGCAGATCACTCACTGCCGTCATTTACGCTTCATAGATGTGATCGAGCTGCTCATGGTGCTCCTCTGTCGGCACTTCGACTACTATACATCGATGCCGCACTCGCAACTAGCTGATGACAACCTTGGGCCTCGTAGGACCCGAATGGACGCTCAAAGTAACGACCGAGCGCTCCTTCTGCAAGTCGGGACGGAGAAATTCGCAGGACTTGGTGATCGCCTCGTGGAGCTGACTCTCGTAAGTCGGTCGGCTCAAAAGGGTCTTTGAACTATGGCTGATAGCGTGCATTACAGGGTGAAGCACAGCTACCCGACGCTCAAGAACGTCTGGCGTTTGTAGAAATGGCGATGAGGCGAATTCAGTCGCTGCTCGCTGAGAGGTCAGTGTGAGGATAGCTTTTACGATGTCATTTGCATATGTACATATCAAAATCAACCCTTGCGCTTTTGGGGCTTGCTCGCCTGCGGGCCATTACCCTTCAGCGCATCGTGCAAAGCAACTTTTTTGACGCCGAGCATATTGTCCACATCTAGCAGGCGAGCAGGACGACTGTCTTAGCGCTCAGACCGGAGAATGCAAATTGGGAGCGATACTCACGAGCATCTTCTAATAGATTCTTCACGAACTCATCGTCTGCACCGCCTGACGTGATGTACTTCCGACTAACACCGCGGACGCTGAGTGGCTGGTGAAGCAGCCCGTCAAGGTCCCTCTTGAGCGCGCCAGCTTTGCCTTTGTTTTGCTTTTTCTTCCTCTTGCCGCCTTCTTCCTCGACGTCTGAGCCAAGGATACCATCCACGTCACTTAGATCGTCGCTGTCTATGTCAAGACCAGCTTCATCGGCGAGGCTCTTGAGCCAAGCGCTGTCGTGCGACGCCTTGGATTGCTTGTGCTCGATGCTGTCGATTTGCACCGCTAACGCGAGCCTTTCCCGCAGTTGGTCGAGCAGTGAGTACTCCACCGGCAGTGAATTGAGTGAATTCAGATCGTCGCCTGTGGAGAATACGCCGTCAGTGCTATCCAATGCTGCATGAACATAGAAGGGAGCTCACTTCGCTTGAGCGTCATCATGACCTGCTTCATGAGCTTCTTCTCCGCGGGGTCCACCATAGCAAGACTAACACCAGCCCTGCCTGCTCTTCCCGTGCGACCGCTGCGATGAACGTAGGTATCCGCACTTCTTGGGATCTGATAGTGCACGACGTGGTCTACGGCCGGAATGTCCAGACCACGAGCTGCAATGTCTGTTGCGAGCAGCACCGCTGAGCCTTTGCCAGCACCAGAGTTGGAAGAGGAGAGATTGGCGGAGCGGAAGTTGTCCAGATTGCGCAGACGTTGACGCTGCTGGAGGTTTGAATGCAGAGGGAAAGATTGCACTCGCAGGTGCGTCAGAATAGGCTGGATCCGTCGAATGCTGTCGATCGAATTGACGAAGATGAGGGTTCGCCCGGGGTAGCGAAGAAGAAAGTAGTAGAGGTACAGGTCCTGGATGACGGGTCAGTTGTTACGACGTCAGCGTCAATACTTTACTACGATACACCAAGACGAGCGTCTCACCTTCTCCTTACTCAGACACTCGATCTTGCACTCTTTGACCGTCTCTGCGACTCGCGACTTGGTGCTCAAGTCCGCGACGTAGGGGTCCTCGTCGCGAAAGTCGATTTTGCTCATGAGCTCATCGAGCGTGTTCGTGCCAAGTGCCCTCTTGAGCGCCTTGCGGTTTCCGCGTTTCAGATTTACTTGCAGCATCGACGAAAAAGTGGCCGAGAAGATATACGTCTGCAGGTCTGCATTCGCGCCGTCGCTCGGCTCAGCAGTTCCTGTGTCAGCGACTACAGGAACAGCGCCATCGCCCGCACAACGGCGACGCAAGATGCGCAGAATCTGCTCCATCTCGACGAAATGCCCTGCCTCCATCATGCGGTCGGCTTCATCAAGGACGAGAGCTCGACTGGTGAGCTTGACGCGTTCAGCGAGCTCATCATTCGATTCCAGCGTCTCCCATAGTCGACCTGGCGTGGCGACGATGATGTCTGCTCCGCCTTTAAAGGAAAGCTGGCGAGCTTGCTTCTGCGCGGACATGCCGCCTACAACAGTGGCGAGGGTCGCAAAGGGCGGCGAAGTGGTCTGCGCACTTGCATTGGCGCCCGGATTGCTTGCAGCAAAGATCAGGCTGGAAATTGATTTTGACACTTGCAGAGCCAATTCACGCGTGGGCGTCAAGATGAGCGCAGCTAGAGGCTTGATTTCTCCTGGTGACCCCTCTTGCGTCGCAACTTCTCCAGTTTCTCTGCGCTCCGCCAGCAGGCGATGCAGGATAGGCAGCGCATAGGCTAGCGTCTTACCGCTACCCGTTTGCGCGACACCAACAATGTCGCGCCATGTGCTGGCATGGGCTTGCGAGAGGTCACTCGGACTTTCTTCATTCTTTTTGTCGTCAACTCGAGGCGCCATGGCAATGCTGATCGTGTTCGTCTGGATGGGTGTGGGCTTCTTGAAACCCAGCGCAGCAAGACCCGCTTTGAGCTTGGGGTGCAAGGGAATGTCCTTCCAACCGGGTAGATTGACAAAGTCCCTGGGAATGGCATTTGGGACTGACTCGTCCAGAGCAGCCCATTGCACATTCACAAGATCTTCCTCTACCTGCACATCTCCTCCAGAAGCCGACTTTTTGGAGACGTATATATTTGCTTGCTCGCTTGCTTTGGACGCTGACTTTGCATCACCATCCGCAGGCGCTGGTGGCGTCGTCGACCGGACCGTGTTTGCAGAAGATTGCTGATCTGCATTTTCGAAATCCGCGAATGGAATATCTTCATCGTTCGGAGCCACCATTCCAACGTCAGGACTCGCAATTGAGACCTCGTCGTATGTTTCGTGTTGCGACTCTGCCTGGGTGTTGGCGTTGCCCCTGCCGTTGGATTTGGCCTTGACCTTGCTGTGTTCCGATACACTCCCAGCCTTGGATGGCTCATCTGTCGGTGAGGCTGCTGCCAGATCTCTAGTAGCTACGAAAGCGATTTTCTTTCCACCAGGTCCGTCCTCAAATCTCAACTCTACGCCATCAATCTCCTCCAAACCGAGCCAGACCTCCGTCCCACCCCCCCAGGGATCTTTGCCCATTTTCGGCTTCCTGCTCTTCTTAGGTACTGACGTATAGCCTGCACCACTCTGATCAGGATTTTCTCTTGACCCTAAGCTGCTGCCCTCGCCATTTGCAGAGGCGTATAGTGTTTCCCAGAAGCCAGCGTCAGTCGAGCCTCCGGCATCAGCGGCCACGTTTGGTAGCGAGGCACGCTTCCATGGGAGCGCCGCTTGGGGGATAACTTTTCGAGCAGCGTCCCCTGTTGTGGGACCGACCTTCTCCAGCTCCTTTGCGTTCGCGCCATCTGCCGCTCGTTTGCTCTTGGCATTGGCCTTGGTCTTATTGAGCTTTTTCTTGATACCGGAACCCTCGCAAGCAGAGGAGTTGCTGCCGCCACTGCTGGCAAGCTTTTGTCGCTTCGCCGGCCGCTCGAGACCGTGATCCTTTCCCTTTCCCATGGTGTTTGATCCACTCGCGGCAGGGTGTCAAGGCTGAGAGTCTTCTTTGGAATAGCACTTGAGTCGAACCAGTAGACGTGCGTCGTCGAAGTCGAGACCCATGTTAGACCTGTTGAAATGACTGTGTCGAAGGAGCGAGATTTTTAATGGTGCCGAAATTCATATTCCGCTTTCCGAAGGTCTGCCCAAAGCCTGGCAGCTGGCTGGAGAAAGTACCGCGTCGCGCCGTCGCTTTGTGAAAGTACGCGGAGCGTCCGACCTTTCTCTCCACAGTGCGCTTTTGCCTCACTTTCTGCCAAACAATCCACTGGCATTTTTGGCTGGCGGAAAAAGAGTGACTCGTCCACGGCGGCATTCCATTAATTCGCGGCTGCCAACGTGTTCTCTCTACCAACCTATCTCCGGGAGATAAGACCACCTCAGTCTCCCTCACCCCACACATGCTCTTTGGCCTCTACCTCCAAAGCCATCGTCTGCCTGGTGTAGCCATCGCGCATCCCATTACCGTATAACAGTCAAGAAAGCATCATTTGCCCCAGCTCACACCGACCAGTTACGATGGTGAGTGACCTTCTCACTTGCAGGAAATCTTCCGAGCCGGCGCCAGGTCGCGTGCGTGCAAGAATGTACAGACCCTCACCACTCTTCCCTCCCTGACAGTGCGGTATCCTTGGCTGTGTGAATCACCCCGATGCGCCGGCATACCGGTCCAAAATGCTTCAACTTTCTCGGTCCATCCGTCACCGCGGCCCAGACTGGTCGGGCTGCCTTGTTGCGACCGAGGAGGGAGCTTCGCCCAAAGGGTCCATCCTGTGCCACGAGCGTCTTGCCATTGTCGGCGTAGACACGGGTGCTCAGCCGCTGGTATCGAACGATGGAAAAGTCATCCTTGCTGTCAATGGTGAGATCTATAACCATCGCACCCTGCGGAAAAGTCTCAAAAACAAGAGCCCACAATTCAAGACGCATTCGGATTGCGAAGTCATCCTCCACCTCTACGAAGAGTACGGGCGCACGGCCGACTTTGTCACCAAGCTCGACGGCATGTTCTCTTTCCTGCTCGTTGACACATCGGTCAGCCCGCATCGCGTAATTTCTGCCAGGGACCCAATCGGCGTCACGACCCTATACCAAGGCTGGTCCTACAAGTACCCCGGTGCGGTCTACTTTTCCTCTGAGCTCAAGGCCATTCACGAAGAGTGCGACCGCGTCCGCTCCTTCCCACCTGGGCATTACTGGGACAGTGCCAGGCCGGAAGGTGAAGAGACCGTGCGGTACTACAACCCAAAGTGGATCAACGACGATGACAATGGCGCCAGCGTCCCTACGACGTCTGCGGATCTCACAGCGATTCGCTTGGCCCTCGAAAAGGCGGTTCGCAAACGTCTCATGTCCGAGGTGCCATATGGCGTGCTGCTCTCAGGTGGTCTTGACAGCAGCTTGATTGCTAGCATCGCTGCCAGGGAGACGGAGGTTCTGGCGGAAAAGCAGCACAGGGCGTACGAGGCGAGGATGGCAGCGAAAAGCCAGGCGCAGTCCAGAGCTGACATACCGCCTGTGGGCAACAGCGCAGCCAACCGCACAGATGTTGATCCCACGAAAGCGCTTGCGCCCGCTGGAGCGGACGGACGAATGGCTGTCGGCCTTGACGAGGATGCAGAGGCAGAGGCAGACAGTCTCGCAGCGTGGCCCCGTTTGCACTCCTTTTCCATCGGCCTTCCTGGCTCGCCCGATCTCTTGGCTGCTCGTCAAGCCGCCGCGTACCTCGGAACGGTCCATCACGAGTACACGTTCACAGTCCAAGAGGGCCTCGATGCGATACCGGACGTGATCTACCACCTTGAGACGTACGACGTGACGACTGTCCGCGCCTCAACGCCCATGTACTTGCTTTCGCGCAAGATCAAGGCCATGGGCGTCAAGATGGTTCTGTCTGGTGAAGGATCGGACGAGATCTTTGGTGGCTACCTCTACTTCCATGCTGCGCCGGATGCCAAATCGTTCCACCAGGAGTGCGTCCGACGCGTCAAGAACCTACACACGGCCGACTGCTTGCGCGCCAATAAGAGCACCATGGCGTGGGGTCTCGAGGCGCGTGTTCCCTTCCTCGACAAGGAGTTCCTGGACGTCGCCCTGCTCACGCGTGCGGATGACAAGCAGTTCAGCAAGGGCAGCCTGCAGGAACACGATGTGGACGGCAAGCCAAGGATGGAGAAGTATATACTGCGCAAGGCGTTCGATGTCGATGCGATGGAGCCCGTTGTCAATCCCAAGACCGGGGAAAAGTGCAAGCCAAAGGCGTACCTGCCGGACAGCATCCTCTGGCGTCAGAAGGAGCAATTCAGCGATGGCGTTGGCTACAGCTGGATCGATGGCATGAAGGAGTACTCGGAGAAAGCCATCAGCGACCAGAAATTCGCGGAGAGGGCAAAGAGGTACCCCGCCGACACGCCTGATACCAAGGAGGCATACTGGATCAGGGAGGTTTTCGAGAGCTACTTCCCCAGTGAAAGTGCGGCTAGAACGTCTGTTCGATGTGAGTGTTTCCTTTTGATGTTTGTTGCAAGCAAGGGGTTTTGAACTGGCTTTTTCTCACGCTGCATTTTCTCCTGCCAGGGGTCCCTCGAGGAGATTGGGGCTGCTCATCTGACCCTTCTGGCCGCTCAGTCGCCATTCACGATGCGGCATACAGGGGTGAGGCCTGAGTGCGAGCCTGCTCAGCACAGACACTGTACCACAATTCAATGAATCATTTTGGAAACCTTGAAATGGATAGATTGGACGATTGCATACGTCTGGCATCTGTCACATTTTCGCTGTACATTGATAGTTGCTAGTAGGACCTTCCGTTTTTGTCCGACGTGCGTTGATTTACGCTTGTCAATCGAATAGTGCCGTATGCCGTATGAAAGTGTCAACCAATAAAGGTTTGCACAATTTGATGCAGCTTTTCGACTGCACATTCATTGCACGCAGGTATGACACGAATTGACTCCACTGCCATCTCGGTTAAACCAGCCCCTTCAGCACATCCGCACCAGAATCTAGTGTTCAATTGCTGTCAATTACGCACGAAGCATGCTTGAGGCTGGGCCGTCAGCGCATAGGCTAGCCGTGATTGCAACCCAGCTATTTGCACCACATTGCCCTGACCAAACCCCGCCTCACATAGACCTTTCCTACAATTGGCATCAAGATGCCAAGTTCCTTCGAATGGCTTATCTCCTGTCTTTGCCAATGGAGGCACCCTGCAACCCTGCAGGAACATCTTTGACTGCACTCAAGGTCCATTGGTCCCGCCCCCCCTCCTTCCCCCCAACAGTGACGCGTCTTGCAAAGTCGCGGAAACGGCGACCATCAATTGTTCACCTCCAAGCAAAGGCAAGCTCGGACCAGCTGATCTTCGACATTCTGCAGAGAGTTCGCCAGCAGATCCTCAAGCTTGTGTCTTTGCATATCTAATGATCGCTCACCGTCGCCCTAGCCAATTGATGACAAACACTGTCGAATGGTGATCCAGCAAATCCAGCAAATGCACCACCGACCTTCGATTGACGACTCCAGGACTTCGTCGCAAAAGTTTGTTGATGCGCCTGCCGTGGTACAAACATCCCGAGTCCCTTGAACGGGGCACGCCTCTATTGCCCTTGTAATACGCCCATCGTTTGCCCAGGTTGCTCAACACTTCCCCCCATTGAGCCCGTGAATATGGCTGTGACAGGTTAGAGTCCAATCGACTCATCCACAACAAGTTGTTCCCACTTGGCTCGACTTGTTACCCAAGAGCTGATGAATCAGTCGGACCAGGAAACTGCATGCCGCTCACCACTGTACAGCTCGGTGTCAATGGCACTGTTGACGATTATCTACATCACGGTTACAGCAGACCTGCTTGTGCACCGGATGATGCTATGCCTTTCCTCCTCACCTACGTGTGACACGTGAACAGTATATATATTGGACCCAGAAGAAGGTTGAGCGTTCCCCTCCTCGTCTTTTCTCCACAAGCACTACAAGCACTAGCCAGCAACCAGCTACAAGACAGCAGCAATACTTGCCTCTCCAAATATCCCACACCAGCCCTATACCGAAGACCAGTACTTCATCATGAAGCTCACCGGCAACTTTGCAGTTCTGTTCTCGGCCAGCACGGTCCTCCTCAATGGCGTCTCTCCTGTTCGTAGTACTCCTAGCCATGCTCTCGCCGGTGAATGCAATATGGCAGTGTGGCATGAAGCTTCACCGCCGCCAACAGCTGACCAATTTCTCTTCTCTGCCATCATCTTGCTCCGCCAGACGTGAAACAGCAGGACTTGCTTGCTCGCGATTCCGCCTTCCACGGCGCCGGTCACACCAACTGGAAGCGTTCTCCTGCTCCTCTACCTGGTTACGACAACAAGAATGGGTATTGCAAGAACGAAGAGGAGTATGGCAAGAGGGACGGCAAGGAGTACTGCAACAAGGACGGGAGGGAGTACGGCAACAAGGTCGGAAATAAGGACGGGAAGGAGGACGGAAAAAAGTACAGGAGGGAGTACGGCAACAAGGACGGGAGGGAGGACGGCAACAAGGACGGGAGGGAGGACGGCAACAAGAACGGGAAGGAGGACGGCAACAAGAACGGGAGGGAGGACGGCAACAAGAACGGGA